AGATCTGTCCCATGAACCAAAGTGCTGTCTAGAGAACTCAGCCACAAGTTGAAATAAAATTTAGAAATCTAATGTACTGCATAATATCCTATTCATGATTGGTAATTCAGACTCCAATTAGGTGATTGCTGTCAGGAAAAAAGGTCCAGTGTGCAGGTGGCCATTACAGAATGGCTTATTAATCTGCTGTTGATTGAATACTTCTTGAGTTCAAGGATTTATGTTAGCTGCTAGAAATACAGTAGTAGGCATTTTAGCTTTCTCAAATGAGATAAAATACACAATAATTGTCTGTGTGTGTGGGGGGGGCTAGCTTATTTTACTTAGTGTGGTGATCTCCGATTCTACCCATTTTCCTCGACTGACATAATTTAATTCTTCTTAATTGTTAAGTAAATTTCCATTGCATATGTAGACTATGTTTTCTTTATCCATTCATCCATTGAGGGGCCACTATGCTGATAATTTGACTATTAATGATGGTTCCATAACAATTATTACTACACAGTTATCTCTATTATATGCTGACCTTGATTCTTATGGACACATCTAGACGTAGCAGAATTAGGTCTATGGAAGTTCTATATTTAATTGTTTGAGGAACTACTCACAATTATTTGACCCCATAAAAATTATAAATGTCTTTTTTTATGGGTTTGGGGGCTTGAACTCAGAGTCTCAGCACTGTCCCTGACTTCTTTTGCTCAAGGATAATGCTCTACCACTTTGAACCACAGTGACACTTTCAGTTTTTGAGTTGTTAATTGGAGACAAGAGTCTCATAGGGATTTTTCTACCTGGGCTGACTTTGAACCATGATCCTCAGATCTCAGCCTCCTGAGTAGCTAGGATTACAGGTGTGAGGTGTTGGTGCAAGGCTAACTGTCTTACTTTTTTTTTACAAGAAAAAAGAAGTATTGAAAAGTCTGTTGAGGAGACTGGAACTTTTATTTCTTGTGTTAAGAATGCAAAATTATATAGCAATTTTGGAAAGGAATTTGCACTTTCTGCTATCAGCCCCACATGACAACCCCCAGTTATACCCAGAGGCATTATTAAACGAAGAAATAGCTCCACATAAAAAAGCTTTATGTAAGAATTTTTAAGAGCTTTATTCTAAATATAATCTAATGCAATGTAGAAATGCAAGCTACATGGATGAACATACTCATAAGTTATGGATATGTCATAGAACGCTAAGAAAAATTTAGCAGAATTAGGTCTGTAACTTGACTGAGCTCGAGTTAGCCTTTGTGAAGAATATACTCAAGGATTCTTAGTTTATCTTAATGCAATTAAAAATGAAAGGATGTGAAGATTTTTTGATGAGACTTGAGACCTATTACTCAGAGCTAATTATGCTAAAAATTTTTTTCATTAAAAACTTTTTTCTCTGAAGTTTTTTCAACTTAATTGAATATGCCATAATAAACAGGATTAATTGCATTTTAGTTATTAAGACTTCTGGAAGCCACAACATCAGAGATAAAAGTCACACAAGTTTAAAATTAGGAAGGCTGTGTCATCAATCAAAATTTGTTCCTTCAAGTTTTCTTAGAAATATATTGAACATGTTTTCTCAAATCGTATTTATTATTGCGTTTGATCTAACTTGTTCACTGAGTAGAATTAATATTTTCAAAAGCAAAATTACCTTATTCACTTAAGAAATGCATTTCAACACCATGTAGCATATTATAACTATAAATATAAATGTCAAGTATTTCAAGTGATTCACACTGTAAGAAGATGTAAAATCAAAAGTAAATATTATAGGTAGAAATGTTTAATATAGTTCTAATATAGTCCTTTTATAGTCCTGTCTAATATAGTCCTTTATTTTAGAATCAGTGTTACGATAAACCTATCCTGAAGAAATTTGCAACTCTTCAAGGATATATTAACTCTATTCAGTGATACATTTTATATTCACCGCTATTAAAGTAGCACTTACTACTTTATATTTTAAATTGTTAAATTGTTGTCCTTTCCAGTAAAAGCTGATTTCTTCAGGAGAAAAACTAAGTTTATTTATCACACTGAATGAGACTGCATAGTTACTGATAGATAGAATTTATGGAATGATTATTAAGTGAGGAAAGTAGGAATGTGGAAGTGAAGGGGAGGTGGTCAGAGAAGCTAATAGTATAAAGGAACAAATAGTATAAATAATATAATCAAATATAGGAGTTAATAGTATAAAGGAGCAAAAAAGCTTAAGGACAGTAGTCAGGTGCTGAATTCAAGTCCCAGCGCTGGTATTATATATAAAATAGGAAAACTTCGAAACCAGAGAAAGGAAAGTTAAATGAAAACACTCCTTTGAAATGAGAAGGATATAATTTTCATGTAAAATTGGATTTCCATGTAGCACAAAGAATTACCTGCCGTTAAATAACTTAAACTTATTAGCATTCAGTCCTTAGAATAGTATGTATATAATTTGGTTGTGTCTCCCGAGGATTCAGACGCAGGGAGTAGGTTCCTCAGTGTGAGGGAGATTAGGTGGAAGAGTCAGAAAGCGTTGCAGCAGCATAGAAGGTTCCTAGGTTATTTGTGTGTTATTTAATTGGCAAAACTGTTATTAGAAATATTGGTGTCTACTTTGTCACTTCAATAGTTACTTCATCACTTCAAAATTCCTCATTAGAATTTTTACCATCCAGTCTAAATTCACTATTTGAATATAGTATGTATTATTCTCTATTACTCTTTAGCTATTCCTTAAACCTTATTTAAGAACAAGCCATATCTTTTTCTAAATGCCAGTAAAATCTAAGAACTTATTCACTATTTAAACATACATTTCATTTAAAAATAATACACATTTCATTTCTAAGAAGTGACACAAGTGCTCTGACTTCAGGGAATAGATAGACTATTGGCCTACTTAGCTCCATTTTTATAGATTTATGGGATACTTGTGTTAAATGCAGTCTTAGAGGTAGATATGTAGTTTTATGGCAATGTGGTAGAGAGCTGCCTAATTCTCCCTGAGAACAGAAAGTATAAAGAGTCTTTCTAGCAGACTAGATCCTAGAACAGGGACATACAGGTACTGAAGTTTAGTCACATATGCAGAAGGGATAACTGGATCTAAGAGAAAGGTTATTATACAGGGTGATGGTGATGGAAAGACCATAGTTCTAAGACATAATGCATAAGGTGAGTCAGAGATCTGGTGCATAATCTAAAGAAGGCTGAATCCAATCTAGAAAATCCTGCTTTTCTCTTCTTCAAAAAAAAAAAAACAGCTGTATTTTATAAAGAATATTTGGATTTACAGGAGAATTAACCAACAGGATATTTCCAGTCACCCCTTATTCTAGACCCCAAACCACTCCTATAATAATACCTTCCACTAGCATGGAACCTTTGTTTCAGTCGTTAACTTTGTAGACAAATTCTGATTACTCATAGCTTCCAGCAGTGTTCTTTATTATACAGATAGCTATCTGCCACAACAGTCATGAGAATAGTTTAACTAGACTGCAGATATTTTGTCCTTCACCTGTGCACACCAACCATTCCTAAAGCTGTCACCCAATGATGCTTTGTCTTTATGATTTGATTTTTTCCAGAATATTATAAGGTTGGAAACATAGAGCAGGTCAACTTTCTACATTCACTTCTTTCAGTTAGTAATATGCCTTTATCCTCGTTAATTATGATGTAGCTCATCAACTCAAGCAAAATACCCAAATAATTATTTGGCTATTAATGCTACAGCAATAACTTCAGTTTTTCTTGATAATTGCTTTAGCAATTGGTTTCAGGTATGATCTGAAGACATCATGATTATTTTGGATTTAGAAAATAGCTAAAAATACCAACTCGCTTGCCACTTCTTTCTACTATTTTCCTTATGGTTTCGTGATACATATTCTCAATCTATAGATTATTTGCAGAAAGTTTTTCATCTCCATGTTCAGTTCATGAAACTTGGCTTTTGTCCATAGATATTAACCGTATCTATTGTGCATGGACTGATTTGACAAAGGTGAAAAATAGTTAATAAGTCATCATAGATGAGAACCAATCAGTGATCAAGAAGACTGTTGTAAAGCCTTTGGCAGCACAGTAGAGTTCCTTTTCTCGCTAGTTTACCCTACGTATCTGCATTATTTCTGTATCCTTTAACACACTGACTAAATGAAGGTGTCCATGCTAGCCTGCACATGAATATTGATAAAGGCGTTGTATTTATTCTTGTCTAGGTCAAGAACAAATATGTTCAGAAATTTAGATATTTGTTTTATACCATAAATGTATTTCCTTGTGCTTTCTGTGCGGCAAGTACACTTTATTTTCACATCTAAAGCTTTACATGAGAGGCTCGGTAGAATTATGGCCAGATGTGAATTTTTGATCTCTCAGCCAGATTTAGGAAGGGAATTTGCATTGAGTAGGAAAATACTAAAACAGGAAAACCAGATAAGAGACTAGTTTGTGTTATTCAGAATTGTGAGAGATGGTCTTAAGGACAGAGCCCCTTAATTAAGCCTCAATATTTTAGGCTGGGTGACTTTTTGGAAGTAATTGCTAGGGTGGGAAAAAATAATGACTGACTTTCAGGTTCCTGATTAAAGCAAAGCTATTGCATTTTTTGGACCGAGGATGAATTCTTATATGCGTTAAGCCTTATATGCCTGTGATTTCAGGTTGCTTCTTTGGGGGAAAAAACAATCTCAAATGGCACATTACTGCTTATACTCTACAATATTTTTCTCCGTGCTTTTATTCATTTCACACATGTTCCTCTGGAGCCTTGATTGCTATTCTTTCTGCATAAAAGTAACATTATTCGCAGGTAGGCATGCAATTTCCATAAATAAAGCTTTCCCAAAGTAGAAAGAGCATACATTTTCATCCTAGGATTAGGAAACAAATAAAAGAGAAAATATGGCTTCCTGATGCCTAACAATGTTGTGTGGACAGATAGGAGGCGTGCCTTGTACACCCTGAGTTTGTCTCATGGCTGTTGTATGTCTTGCGTTTAGCTGGGATGACAGCAGTTCAGTGAGCAGTGGTCTGAGTGACACCCTGGATAACATCAGTACTGATGACCTGAACACATCCTCTGTCAGCTCATACTCCAACATCACTGTTCCTTCCAGGAAGAACACGCAGGTGATGACTATTCTCTTCCTTTTTTCCAGTGCTGCCACTGGTTTCTTCCCCTTGCTTATTTTATAGTACCGTTGTACAGTTGTAATGCAGTCCCTTAATCTGAAATAACTGCTTAACCAGCTACAAGAATTTTCATATCAGTCCATTCTGTGTATAGAATATATATGGGGAGATAGAGATAGATAAATTAGATATAAATGTAGATATAGATTTCTACTTTATAATCTTACCAGAAAGGCCAAAGTTGCGATTCCTTTCCTTCTGATATTGGTGCATTTGTTTAAAAATCAAACAATTATTTTGGTTGCTCAGCCTTGAATAGTTGTCTTTTATTAATTTCACATTGAAATAGGTCTCATGTGAATGGCAAGTCAAGAATCGACATTAAATAATTATGTTTTATCATGTTTTAGTTTTCCTTGTTGTACATGACAGAAAATTCCTTTCTTTCTGGGGTGTTTAATTAGCATTTCTGCACATATTTATCCTGACATTCTCTAATATGTGCAAGTGAGAATTACATGTCTAAAATTAATGACATTTAAATAAAGATATAGATAAAAATAGAATTCTCTCTGGCACTCTTTGAAGTATAAATGCTGCTGTTTTGGTTTTTATTTTAACCAGTTATCTGCAAGTGCATTCCAGGGCATCATAAAGTTTTCTGAACTATCTTTCTGTGCAGTTAAAAACAGATACAGAGAAACGCACCACAGCAGATGAGCCATGGGATGGTCCTGAGGAGCTGAAGAAAACAGAAGGGGATTTCGAAAGCCATGGTGATGGAGCTGGCAAGTGGAAAGGAGGATCCTCAGTACTTTCTGAAGACCCTGAAAAGGCAGGGCAGAAGGCTTCCCTGTCCATGTCACAGACAGGTTCCTGGAGAAGAGGCATGTCTGCTCAAGGAGGAGCACCAGCAAGGCAGAAAGCTGGTACAAGTGCGCTCAAGACTCCCGGTAGGCCTGTTGCTTGGTATCTGTTCTGCAAAATATTGTTGAAGATTTGTTTTCACAAATGACAGGGCTCTCTCACTCTCCCCCATCCTCTCTCTCTTGAGCCATTCCTAGGGCTTGAATTCAGATTGTAGGTGTTGGCCCTGAGCTTTTTATTTTAACTTTTTTTTTGTCAGTTGTAGGTCTTGAACTCTGGGCCTGGGAGCTGTCCCTGCCTGAGCTCTTCAGCTCATGGGAGTGCTCTACCACTTGAGTCACAGCTCCACTACCATGGCCCTGAGCTTGCTTTTTTTTTTTTTTTTGGTTTAATGCTAGTACCCTACCACTTGAACCACAGCTCTACGCATAGCTTTTTTGGTGATTAATTGGTGAGAAGAGTGTCACAGACTTTCCTTCCCCAGTCTGGGTTTGAACCATAATCCTCATATGGCAACTTCCTGATTAGGCCTGGTTAAAGACACGAGTCACTGGCACCCAGTTAACAGCTCTCTTTTTAAATCAAATTCTTCTCCATATTTTACACTTGTATTTGTAGTACTACTGTTTATACTCAGGGCCTTGTGCATGCCAGGCAGTTGCTTTATTTTGGTCATTCCCCAGCCCATTGCGTTTTGATTATTTTTCCAAGTAGGGTCTCTCATTTATTCCCCGACAGGCCTGAACCATAATACTACTAACTATATTTCCCATATATACAAGGAATGATAGGTAATTGCCACTACACTCAGTTCTTTATTGATTAAGGTAGGATCTCTAAAATATTTTTACCTGAGGTGACCTTAAACCATGATTAGTCTGATCTCCAGCTCCCAAGTAGCTAGGATTATAGATGCTAGCAGCCATGCCTCACTAATTATAAAACAACTTTGTAATCTGAATTCCAAATACTTTATCCAGAATCCTATAAATCATAATAATCTAAGCATTCTTCAGGTCATATATTCCCACAAAATCGCAATTATCTAGGCATTCTTAAGACTCTACCCTTATATTTTGGGCCTAGTGGATTTCTTAGTAGGTATTGGTCCTTTCAGGACATCTGAAATAAGATCAGATTGATGAATAAATAGTAAGCCTTCATTTATTCTGACTTGTTTACAAAAGTTTGCAATATTTTTGTTACCTCTGAAACTGAATTTCAGCAACACATCTGAGTGGCAAAAGCAATCACACTAATTTAATGGGTTACATGCTGGGCATTTGAGATGCTATTTATGAATTAGACATTGTGACACAGAATATTGAAAGAAATCTAATAAATTGCAACTTCTTTAAGACTACAAAATGATTAAAGTGTCACCTGAAGTATGAGTGTCACAGAACACGTAAAGTATAATTACCCAACAAGTATTCAGAAGAATTTTTTTCTATTACTTAACTTGACAGGATTAAGTGGTAGTAGCCTTTAAAAAAAATGTGCCACTCTTGGAGCTTGAAATTGGGGCCTGAAACTGAGCTTTTTTGCCCAGAACTAGTGTTCTTCCACTTTAAGCCACAGCTCTATATCTGGCATTTGGTGGTTAATTGGATATATGAGTCACACAGACTTTCCTGCCTGTGCTGGCTTTGAACCATCATCCTCAGATCTCAGCCTCCCAAGTTGTTAGGATTACAGGTGTGAGCCACTAGTGCCCCGGAGCCTTTTAAACAAGCAGTAGCCTTTTAAAGCAAGAGAGTTGCAACATAAGACATCCACACATAACAGAATTACCTTGTTTTCATTTTATCTCCTTGATGCTCACATCCTCTCTGCTCTGACAGTCAATTTTTTATAGCATTCACTTCATTCCCTAAATGGGTTTGAGTGCGTGCCTGTTTGGATAAAAATAAAATAATCACTTAAAGAAGCACTCACATGGATTTAGACACTGTTATTATGACATCAAAATATTCGGATGCACATATTTGTTTCTTTCTTCTTGATCAGGAAAGACAGATGATGCCAAAGCTTCAGAGAAAGGGAAGGCGCCCCTAAAAGCACCGTCCCTACAGAGGTCTCCCTCGGATGCAGGGAAAAGCAGTGGCGATGAGGGGAAAAAGCCCCCCTCGGGCATTGCAAGATCCACTGCCACCAGCTCTTTTGGATTTAAGAAAGCGAGTGGAGTCGGGTCATCTACGTTGATCACGAGCAGTGGAGCAACCATAACGAGCGGGTCGGCCACATTGGGTAAAATCCCCAAGTCTGCTGCGATTGGTGGGAAATCAAATACAGGGAGGAAAACCAGCCTGGATGGCTCCCCGAACCAGGATGATGTGGGGATGCACGTGAGCTCCAAAACCACCCTCCAGTACCGAAGCCTGCCCCGCCCTTCCAAATCCAGCACCAGCGGCATCCCTGGAAGGGGGGGCCACAGGTCCAGTACCAGCAGTATCGACTCCAACGTCAGCAGCAAATCAGCGGGTGCCACCACTTCAAAACTGAGGGAACCCACGAAGATTGGCTCTGGGCGCTCCAGTCCGGTCACTGTCAACCAAACTGACAAAGAGAAGGAAAAAGTTGCAGCCTCAGACTCAGACAGCGTATCTTTGTCAGGTTCCCCCAAATCCAGCCCCACCTCTGCCAGTGCCTGTGGTACCCCAGGACTCAGGCAGCCAGGGTCCAAGTATCCAGATATTGCTTCCCCCACATTTCGAAGGTAAGGCTAGGTAAAATGAAACTGGATAAAAATGTGTATATGTATACATACATATATATATGTAGACATATTATATAATGTCTTATATGTATACTAAACACATTTTAATATATACTGAATATGTAGATTCTAAGCTGTATATATCTTAGGATGTGTAAATGTTGGCAGTTTTGTGGAGCTGATCATGGAGGTAGCTAGCAAAAGAGTACTGCTTTCATTGAGAAACCGACAAACACCACAATTGAGCTGTTGCTGCAGCACTGGTGATACAAACAGCATATGTAAGAGACTAAACTTCAGGTGGAGATCCCCAGGAGTAGTGATGACATGAAATAATAGCTCACACATTTTTATCCCATCTCCACCCATCCTTCCCATAACTAAAATCTCAAACAATTAAAGTCTGTATGACTATTGGCATTCATTTCCTATGTTCATCATCCTACTGACTGTTACTGGGTTGATGGTGATGAATAGAGGTGATGGTTTCCTTATAAGACCTTCCATTGGACAGATTGTCTACCGCACCGTGTCTTGACATAGTAAAGAACATCAAAGTCTGATCTGATTGACGGAATTTGAAAGTATGCAAATGTTTGATACAAGGTAAAAACTATGGTCTACATTTTCCAACTTTTCATCAGTGTTTTTCAACATAACTCTGATAAGCAGCAGGGGGTTTGTGTACCCAGATTGTTTTTGGTATGAAAATGGGTTGCTCTGCTCAGAGATAGCACTGTTTTTAAATATGTGAAGTTGCAAAAAAAATGAATATAGTTAGACTTGGCTCAAATAGGTAAATTACTCTAAGTCTGGTTTCTCATCTGTAAAATGATAAGGGTATGATTTATGATTTATTACTTGTCAAACATTTTTAGAGTTTCTTTTAGTCTGCCAACTGAATCAAGAATTTTGAGCTTTTGGAAATACAGTGTTGAAACATTTACTCTTACATTCAAGCAAGCTTAGATATATAATTTTTAGAACACAAGTATGAGGTTTGATTCTTCATGAGAGATGTTACTAAAGAAGAACTGGCTACTTGAAACATGGATTCTCAGTGAAATGGATAAATTATGGCTGTAGCGAGTGTAAATATTTGCATTGTTGAAGAAAAAGCCAAGAGTGCCCTCCTGTGGCCCATTACCTATGAAACAATTTCTCATATTCACCATAAAATTTGTCACTTTGGAAAATACGCATATCATCACAACTTAATTAGTAATCATTATGCCATTACTTCATACCACTTTATTTCCATATTTACATAAATTTGATTATATCATCTGCTTCATTTACAAAACTAAAATGTTTTCTGAACTAGACTCTGATATCTAATTTAGCACTTAAGTGTTTCAAATCACTATTGCAAATATAAATTTGAATAGCACTGGCAACCTCTATAAAATGCCTTTGGCCTTTGAAGAGGAAAAAAATACAGACAAATTCACATTACCATGACTCCAGTATGTCAAACAGCTTATGCTCTGTCATGCAGTCCTTCAGGTACTCAGCTTGCTTTCCTAAACCTAGCCTTAAATGTTCCTTTCAGAATTTGAGTCAACCATTTTTTTAATATAAAAGCCAAAACAGAAACACCCATGCACGTGCTTTATATTGAATGAGTAGAAGTTGTTTCATTATAATGGTTCTGTAGATAGACAGTCACTAGAATGGTCAGACTATGGGAGTGAAATCTTTTTTAGTCATTTAAACTGAGAAAGCCAGGACCTTGCATCTTTGACTTTTGCCCACATCTCCCACCCCAGGTAGCTACCCAGTACTGACTTACTCTTCTGATGATGGAAGAGAGTTTCAGTGCTTGATTAATTAAACAGTCCAAGCTTATCAAGTTCACAAACACAAAGGCAGGCAGTGCTTGGAAGCTCCTTACACCAAAGCACTCTTGGCTCTGTGCGATGAAACCCTAAGGATGAAGTGTGGATATTAGTTTCTTGGAACAACTGAAGTTGTTATTTGTTTTTCTTTTAGGTTGTTTGGTGCCAAGGCGGGTGGCAAGTCTGCCCCTGCACCTAATACGGAGGGAGTGAAATCCTCCTCAGTAGTGCTCAGCCCTAGTACCACATTAGCGCGGCAAGGCAGTCTGGAGTCACCATCGTCTGGTACGGGCAGCATGGGCAGTGCTGGTGGGCTGAGTGGCAGCAGCAGCCCTCTCTTCAATAAACCCTCAGACTTAACTACAGATGTTATAAGCTTAAGTCACTCCTTGGCTTCCAGCCCAGCGTCGGTTCACTCTTTCACATCAGGTGGTCTTGTGTGGGCTGCCAATCTGAGCAGTTCCTCTGCTGGCAGCAAGGACACTCCAAGCTACCAGTCCATGACTAGCCTCCATACGAGCTCTGAGTCCATTGACCTGCCCCTCAGCCATCATGGCTCCCTGTCTGGACTGACCACAGGCACTCACGAGGTTCAGAGCCTGCTCATGAGAACGGGTAGTGTGAGATCTACTCTCTCAGAAAGGTGAGATTTCCTGGAGGCCTTCATGAAGAAGCCCTCAGCCCTTCCCTGCTCTGTGCTCAACCCTTCCCTCCATTAAATTCCCGTGACTTCACTGTGAGTGACAGAAGACTGAAAGGATTTAAGATTGAGGAAACATAGCCTTTTATTTAATCTTATTATACAATTTGTGGAGGAATAAAATTCCTAAGGTCAGGGTGATTAGATAATTAAGGCTCTGACGATGAATGTGTACACTTAAAAGCCAGTAGACAATTTTTAAAATATGTCAAGATTGTATTTATATACTGAATGAGGTCTTCTTGATACATTTTAGTGATGCGACTTAAGCCCCATAGTAACACTATCTCTTTCTGATAATTAGAACATTTTTAAAGACAAAATTTAAATGGGTTCTATAATAATGCCCTGAGCATTATGTTAAAATAATGATAATGTATTTCTCTGAAAAAAAGCCAAAAGATCACTGGGGAAATTCTAGTTGAATTGGAGAATATGTCAGCTGTCAGCAGTGCATCCATTTTTTTTTTGATTAAAAAATCTTTATGAAACAGCAGGGTGACAATTACATAAGTCAGGCAAAATGCCATTCCCTTTTGTACAGTGTCACCCCTTCCTTCCCTTGCTGTCTCCCAGTAGCAATGCATCCTTCCAGTAAAGGATACACCAGCACCATTTTTAAAACAGGTCTCCTGAATATTAATCATATTACAAGATGTTTCCATATTTTACTTTTCCATATATTACTTTTCAAACTTAAAATGGAGAATATAGAGACATTTTCTACCTGATACAGTGATTAGAGTATGTCACTCTCAAATCTCTAGATTCCCACCTTCCCTCCCCACCAGAAAAAGCATCCTTTCTAAAATATTTGGTACTGACCATTAATCTCAAGAAATGCTGCCATTTTTCCCTTACCCATAATATGTATAACAGTAATAATGATAAAAATCATATGCATATAATAATAATAGTATGCAATAGTATTATTATCTTGAAACATAAAACTTTCAGAAATCGCCTTAGTTTTGCGACTTTTATTCTTCAGAAAAAAAAAACAAACACCAAATACCTGGCACCTTCCTCTAAACATTCACGCAGTTATTGATGCAGATCTATCTCCTCTTTTCCAGACCTTCATCCTTACTTCTGAAGTAATTTTTGAAAGTATCAATTAACATCCTTACCTAGCCAGGTACCAGTTGTTTATGCTTATAATCTGAAAGGTGAGATCTAAGGATCACTGTTCAAAGCCAACCTGGGCAGAAAAGTCTGTGAGACTCTTGTCTCCAGTTAATCACCATAAAAACCAGAAGTGGAACTGTGACTCAGGTGATAGAGTCCTAACCTCAAGTACAAAAGCTCAGGACAGATCTGAAGCCATGAATTTAAGCTCTATTATTAGCACAAAACTAAAATCTTTATCTAGACATTCTCTATAGTGTCCATTAATCTAAAACTCACTGCTCTATTCAACCTGTGTGTGTGTGTGCACATGTGTGTGTGTGTGTGTGTGTGTGTGTTTATATGTGTGTGCTAGTCAGAAAGCATGAACTCAAGGCCTGGGTGCTGTCCCTAAGATTTTCTTATCACTTGAGCCACAGCTCCACTTCTAGCTTTTTAGTCTTTCATTGGTGATAAGAGTCTCACAGACTTTCCTGCCCAGGCTGACTTTGAACTATAATGCTCAGATCTCAACTTCCTAAATAGCTGGGATTATAGACATGAATCAGGCTTATGTTTGTTCTTTCTTTCTTTCTTTCTTTCTTTCTTTCTTTCTTTCTTTCTTTCTTTCTTGCTTGCTTGCTTGCTTGCTTGCTTGCTTGCTTGCTTGCTTGCTTGCTTTCTTTCTTCTTTCTTTCTTTCTTTTTCTTTCTTTCTTCCCTTCTTCCTTCCTTCATTCCTTCCTTTCTTCCTTCCTTCCTTCTTTCCTTCCTTTCTCTCTCTCTCTTTCTTTCTTCCTTTCTCTCTCTTTTTCTTTTCCTCTCTTTCTCTCTCTCTTTCTTCTTTCTTTCTTTCTCTTTCTCTCTCTTTTTCTTTTCCTCTCTTTCTTTCTTCTTTCTTGTTTTGAAACCCAGAGTAGAACAAACTCTCTTGGCATTCATTTCTCTAATCAGGAGTCAAGGACAATCATGCAGGTGTAACTTCCTCTCATAAAAGAATTTTTCAGCTAATTGAAATATTGCTGCTACACACTTGCTAAGATGGGCTACTACACACTTGCTAAGATGGGCTACTAATTGTAGAATGCTTTTCCCACATGAAACAAAATCATAAGTCAGATGACCAGATGATAGAAACTAAACAGGATCCACACCTCTTGTCATTTTACTGATATACTGCATACATTAAAAACAATATTTGATCTTTTGCCAAAGAAGTTAAGCTTCTTATAACATTTTAGATTCTAGTTTCAACATTTTAAATGGACATTGATGTTTTATTTAAACTTTGAACAAGTAAATGAAATTTAATAAAATTTATAAAATAACCTATGTTAATGAGCATATCCTCAATTATATACTCAGATGTGGGAAATTCAAATAGCAAATTGATAATAAAATCAACCATACCACACTTATTAGTCAGAACCACCCTCCAAAATACAAATTATTTGTACGACAATAACTATACTGTTTACCATTTAGCCATCAACCTACTTCTTAGTCAGATAATCAACTATAGTCATTTGTATCCAGATAACTCTCAGGTCAAAACCAGGTAAGCCACATGTTAAAACTGATCTTATAGCCTGGTGCCAGTGGCTCATACCTGTAATCCTAGCTACTAAGGGGGCTGAGATCTAAGGATCATGGTTCAAAGCCAACCTGGGCAGGAGAGTTCATGAGACTCTTTTTTAAAGGCGTGGGATAATTTATTTATAGAAATTGACCATTGTCAATTCACTAAATAGAGAGATGGGAGGGAGAGATTGGGAGAGAATGAATTAACAAAGGACATATGTGAAAGGAAATGTACTTATTACTATCTACAGATGTATGCTGTATATCACCTCTAAGGCCTTAAAGTAAATTAGAAAAAATAAAGGCAGACCAAAAAAGGAATTGACTATTGTCAACTATTTTAGAGGACTCTTTTTCTAGGTACTCGGAGATTTCATCTGGGAATTGGCTTACAAGTCACTCAGCATGGTATCACTGAGAACCAAATGTGTGCTAAGCATACCAATGCTGGGTGGTGAGTAATGACATAAAAGTGTATTTTTCTGGCAACATCTAAAGGAAAAGAACATAACTTGAAATTTCTTTGGCTTCTCTGTGGCTTCTCATATTGGAAATATGACAAACCACCAGAAAACTGGAATGGCGCGTAGCTCAAGTGGTAGAACACTCACCTTGAGCTGAAGAGCTGAGAAACAGCACCCAGGCCTAGAGTTCAAGCCCCATGACTGCAAAAAAAAAAATGATGTTACAGCTTTAATGGAATGCAATTTTATATTTCACTCTTTTAGTTGAAGTCATTATTAATTTTAAAATTAATTAATTTAAAATTATTTTTAAAATACTCTTTTCAAATACATAGTTGTTTATTGTTTTTAAGGAAATGTTTCCTATGATTACTCAATTTTGGAAATAGGCTAATTTTTACAAATGGTAATACCTTGCTATTAAAATAATCTCAATAAGACTATATAAAATATAATTGAAACATTTTAAATAAGAATGTTTGGCTTTAATAAAATATATTAGTGAATATTATGCCATGTAGTGAATGTTTTCATAGGTATAATGCCTAAGAAAGGCATTAATTCCTTCTAGGAAATTGAAATTACTGGGTTGAAATAGGTGTGTGTGTGTGTGTGTGTGTGTGTGTGTGTGTGTGTGTGTGTGTGTGTGTGTGTGTGTGTGTGTGTGTTTGAGGGCTTGAACTCAGGGCCAATATACTGCCCTTTACCAGCATAGTGCTCTACCACTTGAATAAAAGCTCTGCTTCATGCTTTTTTTTTGTTGTGGTATTAGTGGTTGATTAGAGATAAAAGTCTTTCTCTCCTCCTTTCCTGTCCAAGCTGGCTTTGAACTGTATCCTAAGATCTTCACCTTCTGAGTAGGTAGGATTCCAGTCATGAAGTACTGGCACCCAGCCTTGGATTGAAATATTTTTTTTTTTCAAAACAGTATACACTTACTCTTCTGTTTTTCACTTTCTCTGCTTGATAACAAAAATTTAAACAACAGCAGATTATTGAAATCCTTAATAGTACATAGAAGGATACCTTCATGTATTGTAGAGAAACTAGATGTAATTAATTGGTAGTCTTGGCTTAATCAGACTTAACTGGTCAGTAGATTGTTGGGAATGTTAAAGAAGCTACAGAACCATGTATAAGTGAAAGTTTTAAAATCTAAATATTTAAAATTAATGAATTAGAGATATGTAGTGGAATAAAAGTTTATAAACTACTTTAGGAGACTTTTAAAAATATACATATTTTATTGTAAAGATACTGTACAAAGGGGTTACAGTTACATGAGTAAGGTAATGAGTACATTTCCTATCGAGCATTTTATTCTTAGCTTAGAAATATTAAATCAATGAGGTTTTATTCTCATTTAACTTTCCTTTAAATTCCTACTCACTAAAATTAATAAAAATAAATGAGTATAGAGAAAGAAAGAGAAACGATAGAATGTATTTTAAACAATATTTCCATATTGACTCTGTATCATTGGTGGACCTTGAATGATAACTAGTATACATTTTTATCTTTTGTTTTATCTTCATAAACTTAACCAAAAATTTAGAATAATTTTAAGTAATAACCAACTTTACTAATTCCTGGTTTGTCATTAATGTTAAATCTGAGAAGCTTGCTTTTATCTTTCTGCATTAAAACTATTGTCTTGAGACCCAATTCCTATACCAAAATCCTCAAGTGTCATTGTTATGACCATTGTGGTCCCTGCTAACAATATGAGTTGGCAACTTTTAGAGATTTACAGAAAGACTTGCATAATAACACACTAAAATCTAAAGTCCAATAGATAAATTGTGAATCTAAACGTAATTTTTCCTTAATTGTTTTCAGTAAGTGACATACAAACATGCAATTCTTATTTGTCCACTATCATTGGCAATTTTCTTTGTAACATTAAATTTGATTTGAGCCATGAAAATCCTCAGTGTGTCTATGGCCACATGAATACTTTCACATATTTTTGTCATTGCTGAGAGACTTCTTCATATTCTTTCAGTGTGGTTGTTTTTTGTTTGTTTATCTTAACAATTAAGAAGACTTCTATAGTCAGGCTACATGCTGGATCAGGCCTCTATGTAATATAGTGTTGTGTTTTTTTTCTGTAGGAATTCCCAGTGAACAAATTTGTATAAAGCCTTTAGCTGTTAGCTCTTACAGTGCTAACTAATGGAGTACAGATGAAGAAAACATTTTAGCTTTGATTTTGAGTGCTGAAACATTAAATCAATGTGTTCATATTCATGATATCATCCCCATTATGCATACACTGTGTGTTTAATTCTGATCACTTGAAGTTCTAAAGGAAGAGAGCAATATATCTGCAGATTTACATTAATATTACTTTGGTTATCCATATGTCAGAGTCCTCAGGCTTGTATCAGTTTGTTGTTGACACCCTTAACTTCTTTTTTCAGAAGTCATTTCTCATTCATTATAGATAAATCTTGTCATTCCTACCAATGACAAAATGAAAATTCTTTAAAATGGAAAGGATATAATTAATAACCTTTTAAACATCTAATCAGTTTCTAAATGATGGTATAGCTTAACATCCTTGAAGTATTTAAATAAATATCAGAAACATTGTTTTAAGAATATACTCATTATATGCTATTTCTCCTCTTAAATTACTTAAATTGAAATATAGCTTTATTAACAATAACTTCGAGATAAAATAATAGGTATTAAATAGTGATGCTTTGAGTCCTGTATAATCACTGGAACTCATCAATGTAACTTAGAGAATCTCTGTGTTTCTCCTGAAAGTGAAGTTAAAGCAAAAGTCTAGTCAGCTGCACAGAAAACAGAAAATGATTATAGCTTGAGGTAAATATAGTCTAGAGAACAATTATGTTAACAGAGGATTTCACCAATCTTTTAGTAAATCTGATCATGTGTTATAGCAATGGACAACTCTTCAACTTTAGCTGGCCTTTACCAATGACCTAAGCGTTTATATATGTATTACCAAAATGTGATTTTGTGTAGTTCAAGGAATCATTTTTGTTGGATGTTTAATTTGGAGGTTTTGTTTACATTATGTCCTTAGGGGTTTTCTTTGTTTTAACAGCATGCAGCTTGACAGAAATACACTACCCAAAAAGGGACTCAGGTATATATTTCTCTCAGCACAATTGTTGCCTTTTTTCTATTGTCACATAAACTTTGTGTGCTGTGTCTCCTCCTCTTTCTTTCTTTGTACTTGGCATTGAAGATGAAATCACTTTTAATCTTAATGCTTTCTCTGGCTTTAAATGTTGAATTGTTTAGGTTTAGTATGAGATAAAAGTAGACAACCAAGATGGTGACTCAAATTAATCCTTATACCTCTATCATTATTTGGAAGTAATAACATTTATTGAAGAACTTGTCCCAAGTTTTGTTCTTGGAGGTACCAATAAATTTTGGTAGAATGCAAAATTTACTTCTCCAAATTGAGATAGAAATCACTTCCCGAGATTGCATCTTGAAGACCTATTCTGTAAAACCTCAATACCCACATAGTCTACAGATGTGGCTAGTAATGATGAAAGGTTAAAGGATAGTATAATTTGAATCAAAGAAAACATGTTTTCATCATCTCAGGATGAATACTGTAATTAATTCTGTAATTAATGAGTTTTACCAACTCAGTTTTTTTAGGGCTGCTGGTATTTATTAGATCAGTTTTAAACTTGAATAAATATAATATCATATAATATCAAAATAATCATGCCATTAATAGTAACCAAAGTTTAATTCATGTCCATAACTCATTCCTGCATACTTTATCTGAGGAGGAGCTATAGAAGCTACTAAGAGAGATTTGACACTAGGAATGTGATGGCCACTCTTTAAGGTATGACTTCTGTAACTTCTATGGTGTAGGTATCTAAGAGAAGCGCATATGAGAACAGAGGCCATGTAGAGCATTTGCATTTTTCACAGTGACTGCATCTTAAGGTTAACCTTTTAGGTGCTTAATAAATATGTTTGGAAAAAATGGAAAACAAAGAATTTATTCCGGAAACACAGTGAGTAATGGCCGAATGAGAACTTTTCCTATTAACTCCTTTTTTCTTTCCAAATTTAGAGCATAATCAGATGACAGTTCCCTTCACTTCAATATTTTGTTCTAAAACTTTATTTTCCAACAACATGAACACGTTTTGTTTTTTTTTCCCCATCCTTATTAAAAAAATCTAGAAATGTCTATAAGAGCATTGTAGTCAGTGTGTGTTCCATTTCCGGTGCCTTTCTGTGACCTTCATTACACTTCCATTGGCTTCTGGCCTGCCACTGTCATGGTTGTTTGTCTACGTTCTCATCCTCCTCGCATCCTTCCACGCACTGTGTTTTTGGGGCTTTCTCGGCTAATTTGGCTGACTGCTCATTGCTTATGATTTCCAACACCATATCTTACAAAAGCATAATTTTTCTTCTTAAATGCCTTTTCTTTTTCCTATGGGATTTAACAGATGGTATCAAATCATCTGCAAGTACTGAGCAATTCTAATTAGATCTAATCTGTTTGAATTGTTGTTCAGTGGGGATAGTGAGCTCCTCTCAATTGCTTTCCTGCTCTGCCATTTCCTTACCCTGGTAGATGGGTTTAAGCGTCTCAGCTGTGCTCTTTTGCAGATATACACCATCATCTCGGCAGGCCAACCAAGAAGAAGGCAAAGAATGGTTGCGTTCTCACTCCACTGGAGGGCTGCAGGACACTGGCAGCCAGTCACCTCTGGCCTCCCCTTCTGCCATGTCATCTTCTGCCACAGGAAAATACCACTTTTCCAACTTGGGTAAAATATTCTACACTATAGATTCCACCTTGTTCATTTCAGCACCCACTCTTAGACGAACCCTTGGTTTCCCTGCAAAATATATATATTACATATCATATGTATTTATGTAGTGGTTTCCTGTTGACAAAATAACTTTTAAACCTTATATTGTTACTGTCCATGACCAATGATTAATAATAATACTGTTAGCCAGGGGCTTAGCGCATGCCTATAATGTTAGCTGCTCAGGAGGCTGAGATCCGAAGATCGCAGTTCAAAGCCAGCCCCGCCAGGAAAGTCCATGAGACTCTTAATTCCAATAAATCACCAGAAAACTGGAAGTGGCGCTGTGGCTCAAGTAGTAGAGTGCTCACCTTGAGGTGGGGAGCTGAGGGACAGTGTCCAGGCCTGGAGTTCAAGTCCCATGACCAAGAAAAAGACAATAATGATGATGATGATGATGTTAATGTTAATTTGCCATCCCAACTCCAGGTTTATTTGACTTGAAAAAGTGTCACCCATTATTATGTAGAGAAGCATGGATCTGTTCCAGAATGTCTGACCTCAAGGTCAAAAAAGTTTCCATTCTAATTCAAAATCTTCCTTAAAAGTATTATAAAATCTATTTTTTTGCTTTCAATTTTAAGGCTTTCTGAAGCAAAAATTATAATCTTCCTGTAGAGAAATAGAAAATAGAAATAATTAGATAGAAAACAATATGCTATTTTATGATGCAGTGTAACATCTTTAATATTATTAAAATTAAAGTTGTCCTTCATGTGCATATAATTGTTCTTATGAGTATAAATGAACATTTTAGACAAACACCGAGAAATCATTTGGTACCTTAAGTTACTGGGTTACATTATACCAACTGTCATTTTATGTAATACAGTCAAAAATTAGTGAGATAATCTTAAATATGCTAATTATTAATAAAGTACAGTGACTCATGCCTATAGTCTTAGCTGCTTAGGAGAAAGAGATTGGAAGGATACAGGAGGTACAAGCTCATCTCAACAAAAAACACTTAAGTCTAGTAACATCTACCCATTGTTTCAGTTTCAGCGGGAACATTTACTAGGATAATCCAAGGCTGGACTAGCCTGGACAGAAAGGGAGACTCTATCTCAAAAAACAACCCAAGCAGGAACAGCTAGTTTTGTCACTCATTTAGTACAGTGTTTGCCTAATCCCATGTATTAGATAAGTAATATATACATACATACATGCATATATATATATATTAGTTACCACTCAGTAGATTCAATGACTTTTAAAATAAAGTTACCTTCTACTTGTGAAATGGCCTTCTGTTTCTCTTTTTACTTGAGAAAAATTCTAATTATGACCCCATAGGCCACATTTCTTTCAGGAATTTGGACTTTTCAAATGAACTCAATAGGCACAATCTAGGCTATTTCTTACATTTCATAGTTCTTTTCACTATACCAAGTAGGCTTTTGGCAATTGAAAAGAACTATTTTGTTCATGGTGCTATATGGTCTAATGAACAACTCCTCTTCCCCTTCCTCTACTCTCTTCCCTCCTCTCTTCTTCTTACTTCCTTCTTCTTCCTTCTTCTTTCCTCCTTTCTTCCCCCTCCCCTGTCCTCCTTCCTCTTCTTCATGGATGTTAGTACCAGGCTTTCAACTCTTAGTTATTGGGCAGACACTCTACTAGTCATGGGCCCAGTATTCAGAAAGTATATTCTTACAAATGTCAAGATTATAGTTCTAAATCTACACAGTGATGAGATTTCTTTGTCCCATAATGTCAAAAGAAGTATTGGTTTTATTTATCTGTAGTCATAATTATAAAACACAACAAAAAGGGGGCTGGGAAGGTGGCTCAGTGGTAGAGCGCTTGCCTTGCATGCCTGAGGCCCTGGGTTTGATTCCTCAGCAACACATAAGAAAAAAGCCGGAAATGGCACAGTGGCTCAAATGGTAGAGTGCTAGCCTTGAGCTGAAGAGCTGAGGGACAGCGCCCAGGCCCAGAGTTCAGGCCCTACAACCGGTCCCAAAAAACAAACAAACAAGCAAAACACAACAAAAAGGTTAATTTTTTAACTTTACAAAATGAACTGAAATGTTTTTGTAAGGTCGTAAGAATGGGGAAAAAAATCTGAAATAGACTATCTGAAATAGAATTCAAATAACCCCCAAATACTCTAGGATGATACATGGTTCATATCAGTTATTTTTTTCATCAGTTGACATTAACACTTGATAATTTGACTCCTTATGTCATTTTTCATTGTTATACTGATAAAATCCATTTATTCCATTATTCTTTGGAGGTAAATAAAACACTCCCACATTTACTATATTTGACCTTGGTAATGTCATTAACTCTCAATGTTCTTATCTGTTGAATAGATATATACTGTCTAGGTCATGTCTCAAAGAATGACTGATTAAATTTTAAAAAATGTGGACAAGAGTATAAGTCTTGATAGACTCAAAATTTCTTTCATTGGAGAACAATACACTATAAAATATTTTACACTGCTCAGGTACTTTTGAACTTAGAATTTAACTGAGTGTAAGACAGTGACAGCACACTTCACTATAATGGAAAATCATGTCTTACATTTTAGAAAGACTCACATTTTAGAAAAAGCCATACAAAGCTCTCACATTTGAATCAAGGTTTCATTTACCAAAGCTTCATTTACACAGTGGTTTGTTCCATGCCTAAAATAACTTGAAGTTCACATGTCAACTGAAATCAACATGTCCTTGGCTAAAAATGTGTTCCAAAACAACATATAACACTTGAGAATTCATTTTCTGACATAATTTTCAAGCATGAAGAATAATATGGAAACATCAGTGCTTCTTTTTCTGATAACAAACCTTCTCTGCAGAACTTCAATGATGTCCTAATAGACTTAATTTAAAAACTTAATGATCAGATATATTGTAGTACTTCCATGTCCAATTTTCATCTTTCTTTTAGTCTGCCACTTCTCCATATTAAAATTGTGTTAACTGATAAGTTTTAAGAAATACTGTGAAATTCAAATGTTAGAACACTGTAAAACTATCTCACTGTTAGTAGATTGCTGTAAGCTACAGTCAAGTCTGGCTATGTGGAGTTTCCATAGACAAGTAATAAACAGGAGCCATTCCCACTCAGGAAAGAATATTTGAGTATCATTTGTGTCAACAAGTCCTTCTAAGAAATTTTGTTTTATGTTAATTATAATGAGATTAATCAATAATTGTGAGGCTTCTTGTAATATGATGCATCACTGTTATATCCCCATTAATGACAACCATTGATAAGATTCACTTTGTCCTTCCCTAAAGGTTACCATGCTAACTCATTCATGGAGCTATTACTTCCCAGTTCTCTCTATTTGATAACTCTTTTGCATACAGAATAATTGTTAAAACACTTTTATTCTGTTGTTGAGAAACAGTTTCTCTCCTTTTCTTCATAGGCTTTCCTCCCTGGGTTAGCTTTGAACCATGATCCTCAAATCTCAGTCTCATGTGTGGCTAGGATTACAAGTGTGAACCACCAGCACTTGGCTTCTTTTAAGTATTCTTTTACCATGAATACTTGTAGTTCACTCCTGTCCATAAACCTATTCAGAATGAACTCTTGTTTTCTATACTCATGGAAGCATAGAATCTCACATTTGGAAGAGAGCAATCACCCATATATTGTGTAAATTTTTGGCATATTTAGTTTTCCTCATAAGTCACCAATAACAAACTATTTAAATCTAGAAATAATACACTTACGAAGATCTTTCTTTCATTTTATTCATTTCCTGAATACTCAAGTATGGTCTTACATATCTACCAGGATCCCCAAAAGTTAAATTTACATTCTATATGACCATTCTCTTGTTATTTAAAACAATTATTTAAACTCAACATCTAGTTATAGAAAAAAAGATATGAAGGCATTTAAAACTGCAGTTCACCCCTTCTGTACAGTATTTTCACAATAAAAAAATAAAACTAATCTTAACAAAAAGAAAACATAGTGACAAAATTTAAAAAATAAATAAATAAAACTGCAGTTCACTATAATCTCAGTTTCTCTTCTCTTCAAATCACCAGAAACACAGTCTTTATTAAAAGAATAGCTTTAATATGCATATTTAATTTATGATATCAGTAGCTCTCTTTTCCCTAGTAGACTTCTATCTCTATTACTTTCTCCTGCTTTGAAAATTTTTAGAATATTTCCTAGCTTTGAATATATCTTAAGGATCATTTATTCTGCCTGGACACAGTCCTTGAGAATTTGTGCTCAAAGCTAGCACCTCCTTCCATATCTAGCTTCTTGTTGGTTAATGGAAGATTAGAATTTTATGGACTTTCCCATATGGGTTGGCTTTGATCTTCCTATCTCAGCCTCTTGAGCAGTTAGAACTACAAATGTGAATCACTGGCTTTGCCATTATTTTTGTTTATTTATTTTTTATTTGTCAAGAAACTGAAGAGCAGAGATTTAGATATTTGACTGAAGCAGATAGAAAGCTAAACTACTACTAAAATTATCTTTGTGGTTTTTTTGCCTTTTGTTAGGCTACTTCTCTTGTAATATTATACATACTGAATTTCTACCACTTAGGAGCCTCCCTCCTTTTGTGGGTATTCTTGAAGTAAGATACTGTATCATATTTATCTTGCCATTCAACTACACAAAAGCAGACCTCTCATAGATATTAATTTAACTGGGTTTTCTTATTAGTCTGGGTATATCATAAAAACTGTCAAAATAAATGTATTAATTGTTTTGCATAATTATTAAATAATGAAACTCATTATAAATATAACATCTCAAAATCTACTATTGATCTCATTAACATTTCACTTTGAGTAGGTAACTATTATGTTTATAAATTATAGGAAAACATTTCACTTGGCTATCTCTCAAATTATTTTGGTTACAATTTTACAAATTCAAACAGTAAACAATATGTTCTAATTTCCAGCTACATATAATAAGTAATGCACTTAAAAGTATGTGGAAAGCTTCATTCATTTTACAAGAATTAATTCATATTTTAGATCTACAATGGAATGAGCTACCTGAAACCAAGTACCTTAAACAACAACAACAAAAAATGGGTCCTGATTGTTCTATAATGTACCTACTCTGTTATTAATAAGCATAGTAAGACTAATGGTTACTACTGCTTAACAGACTCTTCTCTACCTGGTCTTTCTTTTCATTTTGCCTTTGTTTACTTATCTCCATTTTCTCCTTTCCTTTCAATGAATTATGTAGATTGCAAATTTATAGTTTCTTCACTCTTTGTTATATTTCTGATGTAATGTGTGGTTTTACACACAAAGATCTGGTTTTTAGAAAATGCAGGAGCACTTTCTTTTAATCTAACCCATTACAGGTTTAATCAGAGAGTTGTACTGTATAGCAATTCAAGTAATAACTGTAAAATATACAATACATACCTAGAAAATAGGACATGCTATCCTTTTATATTAGGGGTTACCCTTCCTACTTTACCTTATTGTGAAAGTTAGTAGTTTTCTTAAGAAGAAATAAAGTGTCCATATAAGAGGAAAAACATGGCAGATTTTTTTTAAAAATCATATAAATGCTAAGCCAGTAGTATATCTTCAGAGTTTTGAAGTTACTCCGTTTATTTTATAGCTCAAGAAGTTGCAGTTGTCATATTTTCTCATATGCCAATAACAAATGTGATGTCCATAAATGTGAAAGATTTAAACAAGATTGTGATAAATGTTTCTCGATTATCCTGTTTAATTTGATTCCAAAATTTAAAACTACAGGTCAATTGCATAACCCATCTTATTTTCTAAAGAATTAATGATTATCATTTGGCCTGAGAAACTAAATGATATAAAAACTATATGGCAATAGGGAACCAGACAAATTCTTATTTCAAATTGCATGTTTACAGAACTCTTTTTGAAAAACAAAATGTTTGTGACTTTTGATAGTCTCATTCTAATATTCTTATCTTAGACCTAGTAAAGTCTAATAATTTTCTCTACTTACTATAGGACAGTATCTACCTACTTTGTACATTCTATTATATTCCATTTAAAGAAAAAGCTTGTTATTACTTAAGCTGATTATTACTTAACTTGGATAATAATTATATAATTTTCCATGAACTTAAATAAATGATTAATTCAAAAATGATTGCAAGTTTTTGCAGATAAGGACCAAAAATTCTCCCTGAGAAAAGTAGATATTTGTATGCTTTTCTTTCTTTTTAGTTTGAAACTTAAAAACTCTAAAAAGTCAATATTTTCTTCATACAAGCTAGCTGAAAAACACCATGTTGCTATGAAAATTGTTTTCATTATGGCTTTAGAAATTAGTGTACAGTTATTTTATCATGAAATTCCAAAGGGGGAAAGGGGACTCAAGGGCACTTCTCACTGATGTTTCCAAGCAGAATACTGACCTACCTAAAGTAGAGATACCCTGGAAATTCACATGTCTGTAGGAATTGGGACCAGTTCTCACTGTCCTTCAACTTACTGTTGTAATTGCTTACGCCCCAAGATAACAGGCTGTGTGCTTTGTTTTTCAGTGAGTCCCACCAATCTGTCTCAATTTAACCTTCCTGGACCCAGCATGATGCGCTCAAACAGCATCCCAGCCCAAGACTCTTCCTTTGATCTCTATGATGACTCCCAGCTCTGTGGGAGTGCCACTTCTCTGGAGGAAAGGCCACGTGCCATCAGTCACTCAGGCTCATTCAGAGATAGCATGGAAGAAGGTAAGCAGGGGGCATGGGAGAATGAAGTTACTTTATTTAATTCTGAAAGAAAATCTGTGCCATTATTCATAGCACAAAGCTTCCTGAAGAGGAAATAAATGAGCAAGCATAATTCTCATTTGTGGTCCCCTGAAGCTTGAAGATGTTTTATTCTGCTTTACCTTCTGTTTTGTTATGCTTTTGGAAAAATACCAGACCTTTTTTTTTTTTTTAGGTTATTTGGCTCTAGAGCAATTTGGAATAAATCTAATGTTCTCGTATAGAAATATGCATAGTCTTAGAGACCTTTATCCAGATGAGTTAAGTATTACAGCAAATGTTTTGTTAATACCTCAATTTAAAAAATAAGGATAGGTAAACAGTGAAAATTACTCTATGAAGCTACTGTATCTTGCTGATTTTACTTTTATAAATGCAAATTGGTATCAGTGTTTTGATCATAGAAGTTTAGAATTCATATTATATCTATATAAGGCATATTTTTGTATCCAATGGCAATTCAGCCTACATCTGACCTAGAAAATACTTTTTTTTGGTTGGTCATGGGTCTTGAATTCTGGGCCAGGGCACTGTCCCTGAGCTCTTTAGCTCAAGGCAAATGCTCTAACTTGAGCCACAGCAATATTTCTGATTTTCTGGTGGTTAATTGGAGATGACTCATAGACTTTCCTGCCTGGGCTGGCTTTGAACCATGATACTCATATCTCAGCCTCCTGAGTAGGTATGATTACGGGGGTGTGTCACTGGCGCCTGGCTTAGAAAATACCTTTTATTTGTATGTTACTACTTTAAATAGGTCTATTCAAACAGCTCAGAAAGTTTAATAAGTGTTCAAATGGGCATATTTTTCCAATGTATGTATTATATCAAGCTTGCCAATAATAATTTCAGAGACTTTGAAATTTAATTAATGAAGTAAATTACCCATAGAAGAAGACTGTGTCTTACATATTATAAAGCACGTCAGGTAAGGATAAAATAGAACTCATCATAGAAATTCAAAGCAGCTTGAGTGAAATCAAACATGAAATCCGCCATAGTAGTTTAGTTCTTAAGAGCTATGCATAAAAGAAAAGACCCAAATCTTGACGCATTCCAAAGGATAAACCTCTGACTTTTCATGTATTTGTAGTAAAACCTAGTGTACATTTTTCTAAACCTATGAACCCTAATTTTCTTAACTTTATAGTTTAATCACAAGGGTGAAATGAGAATCAAGAATAGCTTTGTCCTCTCTCTTTTTCTCTTCTGCTGATTTAAAATAGTCAGCTAGGAGAATGAACTCATAGTTTTCAGATTTGATGTATCGACACTAAATTGGTTGACCACTTTTTCTGTTCTTTTTGAAATATTAACCAAACCACTCAGCTTATTACAGTTATAACGGTTAATGAATGATATACCCTTGGCATGTGTTGATTGTTGCAGTGTGGCAGACAAACTAATCTGAAATATAAAATCATTGTTTTCTGAAAAGATTCTGTCATGTTCTATACACGGGCCTCCTATAGTACTTCTAAACAAATTTGCTAACCATAAGGATGGTTTTCTCAAGTGCCTTGTTTACAAATAAATGATGGTTTCATGATGGTAAATTCTGACCTTCCGTATACTAGGGTTAAATCATTTGAATTGCTGAAAATCAGCCTGAATGGGAGAGATGGCTTTTTGATGCTCATTCATCAAATACTGAATTATTGTTCCTCTTCAATTTGTGATCTAGAATTTAGGGGTGATTGAAACAGACCTAGGGGATTTTTATTGGTAGCTTGCTCAATGCTCATATAGATAAATGGAGACACTAAGCCTCAAACTATAATCACATAGACCTATAAATAATAAATGGAAGAAAATGATAAAAATGAGATTTCCTGATTCACAAGACTAACAGGCTTCACATTTCTTCAACCTCAGATTTATTACAGGTCAAAAATAGGCCTTCTGAAAAAAATTGATTTGAAGATATTGTACATCTAATCGAGCAGTAGGGTAGTAGTTGCTGAAATTGGAAATCTTCTGTTTACCAAAATTTGTGTACTAATGTTTTTTTTTGTACTAGTCTTGGGGCTTGAACTCAGGGCCTTGGTGCTTTTCCTGAACTATTTATGCTTAAGGCTAGCACTCTACCACTTGAGCTATAGCTCCACTTCTGTCATTTTTGGTAATTGATTGGAGAAAAGAATTTCACCAATTTTCCTGTATAGGCTGGCTTCAAACCACCATTTTCAAATCTCAGCCTCCTCAGTAGCTAGGATTACAGACATGTGCCACCAGAGCTATGCTTGTTTAATAACCATTTTTAAAAAGGTATTTTTGAGTATTTCTCAAATCAGCACTTTATCATCTGTACTGTGGTAATCCCAGAGAAGTTTTCTTAGCCTCTGCCAGACCAACTTCAATGCCTCTTGTGTGCACCTTTAGTAACCAATGCATTCATCTCAACTGCCTCTATATGACTGTTGGCAATTGTCTCTTTTATCTACCACTTCTGTGAGCACCAAAAATATATCTTAGTTGATATTCCCAGGATCTAGCAGAGGCTTCCTACATTGCACTGTGTGCTCAGTTTAAGGGATGAAATTGAAGAAAAAAATGTTCCATAAGAACAATGGAAAGAGATTTTCTACAAATAAAGTTGAACATAATTGATCCATTGGTTACATTAACACATTTGTAGTTCAGAAGCAGGCTTTCAATTTGCTGATAACAAACTTTGTATTTTTTGTGCAGAATCTAAAAGGCAATCTGCAATTTCCCTTTTAATTTTTGCGAGACACCATCTTGAAATAGAAGTATTTTTACATTACTAGAATTTCTAAAGAAACAATCATTCTGAATTTAAAAGGAAATGATCAGTTTATCATAAACAAACTTGGAATTTGCATAAAATCATTTCCTGAAAAATTTGCAAATGATTTTTGTTGTCTAAGAATTAACTTAAACATGTAATGATTTTTAAGTTTAAAAAGTTCATGACAACTTTTCTTTAGTTTGGGTTGCCCTGATTTTCTCCTTGCTGTACAAGAAATTTTTGTTTGCTTGTTTGAAACCAGGATTCAAACTCAATACTGACAGTTTTGTTCACTTGCTAGTTCTCTACCAACTTGGCCCACATGTGCAATCCGAATCAGAATTTTCTATAGCTTGCGTTCTACGAAAAACATGTTGCTGGTGCTCATGTTTATCAAATACTTTCAGTCATTTGGTGAAGTTACTACTTTATGGTTGGTGTTTGGGGTCTTTCCTCATCCTAACATCTTGGTTTCCAAAATTTTATAGCAGAATTGGTACCAGAATCTAAAAACTAACAGCTAGTATTTCATTTTTCTAGTAACTTTTTCTGTTCATTTTCAGGAAAGGCCTAGAATTTATGAGTGGAGTTTATTAATTCTACTGTCCATGGTTTTGTTTTATTTTTTAGTTCATGGAAAGGCCTAGAATTTATGAGTGGAATTTATTAATTCTACTGTCCTTGGTTTTGTTTTGTTTTTTAGTTCATGGCTCTTCATTATCACTGGTCTCCAGTACTTCCTCTCTTTACTCAACGGTAAGTGTTGGCTGTTGAGAAAAAGCTGCTTCCTATGTCCTGCTCACAGATGGCAATAGATTGGCGTTTGTACAGAAGTTGAGTAGCACATTACAGTATGGGTAGATCAGTATATTTTCACCACTGTATGCCCAAATCTCCCTGAAGCCCACTTGTAACTGCTTTCATATGACTTTTCTACCTTCATTATAATCAGATAAATGAATTCAAAACTGAATTTCAAAAAGGTACTAGAATATTGTGCTCTTCCCGAATTTCATAATGTTGACATATTTTCCTGCTTTGAGTCTCTGACCCATGGCTTTTAATCATCCTGTAAAATTACAGTTCATTTTGGCAAAATGAATTTTTCTTCAAATGAATATAATTTCATCTTTTTATAAGCTACTCTAGAGGAAGTCATGATTTGTGAGAAGTTTCAGTAAAGTAGCTTAAAAACAGTTTACTGAGTCTCGAAGTATCTTGATTACAATGTAGTCCTTAATCCTGTATGGAAAGTCTCATAAAAAGGTTTCAGCCTTCAGCTGTCATTGAACAATGAAGCATGAGTAACAATACTTATTTCCACCCATTTTTCATTAGGCTTCAATGTTACAGCCTTTGGTTTTTAAGTTAATCTTATATATCTGTTGTCATTCAAGATTAGACTATTGTTTCAAATCTGATGTTCTTCCTGTTTCTCTTTTTAATGATTTCAATTGCCATTAGGTTTTGTAAATGAAGACATTACTATTCAGCTACTATTTTAGTTTAGTGAATAAAGAAGTAAGGACTATTAAAATGTTTGGAAGTAACACATAGCAGAAAATGGTTAAAGTTCAGTGTTCTTTCCTGTTGGGTCAGTGCTGCCTGCCCCTTGAGGAGTTGTTGAGATGATATGATCAGAAGATGCAGCATCAGAAGTAGAGGTGTGGTTCAAGTGATAAAGTACTAGGCTTGATTGAAAAAGCCCAAGAGTAAAAGGCCCTGAGTTCGAGCCACAGTATGGCGAGGGAGGGAGGGCAAGAAAAGAAGATGCAGCATCAGTCTAGTCATGTTTTAAAGAAATAATAATAAGAATATTTGGATAAAACTTTATGAAGCCTAAGACTCAAGAAGTGAAAAAACACACACACATGGCTTTAAGGAAAAATAAATGATTAACTTCATTAATTACTCTATATCAAGGTCTAATAGATCTTTTGGTAGTAGTAAAATATTTCATATTTGCACTAATCCAGTGAACACTAACCTCATGTTAGTATTGATTATTTGAAAAATGTCTGTTGTAAAGAGGACCTGATTGGTTTTTATCTTAAAAGACCATTTTTAAAGAATACATATTGCTAGAGATTAGTAGATTGCACAGTACAGATTCATAGGGAGCTAATAGTATTTAAAAACCTGGAGCAGGATAGAGTAAGGGAAGTTAAATTTGATAAGTGAACACTATTTTTTGCTATACCCCATTGAATTCAAACAACAATATATACTTAATACATGTTAATTAAAAATACAGAGTAATGGAATAAAATATTTTTAATCAGAGACAGGATCAAAATATTTCCACAGTAAAACTAATTAGAAAGCCTAACTATTAAGTACTGCATTGAGGGTATATGAATGTCATTAGATTAAAATAAAGAGAATTTATATGCATAGGCCAACATGTAGAACTAGACTAGACATTTGTGCTGTGGAAAACAGTGAGTTAAATGATGAAGCTCTATGAGAATGCGATATTACTAAGTGACCAATAATTAAGTTAACTAAATTTTTATTAAATTAAAATTGTATTAAAATGATGAAAATTAAAATACATTAGGAGTGGATATGACATACTTTATTCACAAATAATCTGTATTAAAGCAATTCAAATGAATAAATATTTGGAGACTAAAGAAAGAGGAAAATCAAAAATTAGAAACTGTCATTCTGTCCCCAATCCCCATAATTATACATTAAAATTAATCTGGCATGAAGAAGATATCTGTGCAAATGCTTTTTAAACTATGAAGAAGAAAGCAATTTAGTGATATTATATATTCTGTAAGATTCTTTTTTTCTTCCAGAATGAGGTTGCTCCCCAGATATAATGATGCACACAAGTCATTTTCTGGCATTTTGTGACACAGCATGGGGGTAGGGGGGGAAGAGCTTGGAGTTTGCATAGGATGGCAAAAGCCATCCTATGAGTTTCTATGGAAACCTTATCTTCAGAAGCTGCAAAGCAAAGCCATTGAGCAGACACTTTTATCACGGAATTCACACTGAAGTGTTGGTGTTTTGCTGACTTGAAACCATTACACTTGAATAGTAGTTACTAAAGAAAATAAATTAGGAACTATTCATCTCTAGTTTCTGTGGTTCTTTTTTATTTTCTAAGCATTTTTATGGTTGTATCAGAGGTTGCAATTTAACACCTCCAATATTATATCTAGAGTTTCCTCTATAGCAGTCAATTGCTTCCATCATTCTCTACCCAGTCTCATCTGTTCCTTTCCCCAGAGTCATTTTGCATTTATCACTTGTGGGTACCAAGTATTCTGGCTACATGTGCCCCCTCTTCCTTTTTTATTCATCCCATTTCACTAGGCTCCCTTCTGTCATTTTTCATAGAGGTCAATGCTTCCCCTAGTTTTATGTGGAATTATGTTTTGGGTAAAGATATCCACAATTTCTTGGGGGTACATTTTCTGTATCTATATGTCATATCATGTTATAGTGATTTGGTGGGGTTTTTCAGTTGTTTGTTTTGGTTTGGTTTGGTTACTGTGTAAATCTTAATGTGTTTTAATTCTATCTTTTCTTTTAAAATATATTTGTACCTGTAACTATCTTATGCTTTAAATGTGATGTTCATTTGAATTGTATGGTATTTTGGTTTTACAGTATTAAATTAATAATCATGTATCTTTCTCTGTTCTTACATTAGATGATAAAAACATTTAATATACCTTACAACTATCTTATGCATTCATATATGTTTCATGAATTGATAGTGATCTTTTAGTTAAGATTCTTTTTCTTTTTACCTTTTACAGGCAGAAGAAAAGGCTCATTCAGAGGTAAAGGCCTGTAACATGTTTGTTTGCTTATTTTAATTCCCACTTCTGGTGAGTGTTGGTACCACTAGAGGGCTCTGTCATACAATCGCATAACTGCCCAAAACAGAAGTAGCCTAGTGATTCTGTAAATAACCTTAGATACTGCCACTAAAGCATAAATACAGTGAAGTTTTAACAGCAAGCTCTCCTCTCACATTATATATTTAGTCTTAGCTTAACACCTAACAAATTGTCTGTAGTTGTAGGAAATCATTAAATTATTGTGGAATGAATAATGTGTGAATAGGAAGAACATAGGACCTATAATAGATCCCTTTTGGAAAAAGCACTTTATTGTATTTGACTGATTTTATATATGTGTACATGTATGCATGTATGTTTATTTATACATGTATATGTATAGCACAAGCTGCATGGAACTTATTATTTAGCCCAGCCTGACTTTGAACTGAATCCTCCTGCCTCCTGCCTCAGCCCCCTGAGTTCTAGGATTACAAAGTATCCATCACCACACCCATCTTTTTGTGGATTGTAGAAACTCAATTTGGAAAAGCCTTTTAAGGTTTGTAAGAAGAAAATTGCCTTGAGTAAAAAAGCTAAGAGATATCTCACTAGCTTTGAATTCAATCCTCAGCACTAGCATCCACACACACCAAAACAATTCACAACAAAATAGCTAGGTAAACAAACAAGAGGATAATTTGAGTAATTATTTTATAGTTTGAGCTAATAAATATAACTTTAAATTTGTATCCAACAACAAAAAAGAATATATTAGATGTTCTGCTTAAGGCAACTATTTGCAGTCATCATTACATTCAGATTTTAGTTGGCAATATTCAGTTTAAAATATAAAACTGGAATGGAGTCATATTTGGAAATATATATATATATGTATATATATAACTATATACATATACATATCTTTGCTTCCAGCTAAGAGTTTTTTTCTTCTCAACATTGACCTCCATTTCTTTTCCACAAATGTATTGTGAAGAGTGTAAAAAGAAAGTTAATGAGCTATGTCTAGAATGTTCTTTCAAACCAAGACATTTCAATAGTCCAATTCAAACAATAGAGCACTTGTTGTTTTTGAAGAAATACAAAAAGAAGCAAAACAAAAAACATCAAATTAAAGTGCTGGGTGTCTTAATTGAAATTTCTTGACCCAGAAATACACTTGTAGAATGTGTTTCTAAATGTGTGTAAAAGTTTTACCTTAATTATTATTTAAATTTCCTTGCAACATACTATGTTTAGATTAGACTTCAGAAAAGGCTTAAATTAAAAAAAATATTGTTTGTACCCATTGCTTAATCTCAGCACATGGACACATGAGATTTTGTTGCTCAAGGGGAGTGCTCCATCACTTAAGCCACAGCTCCTCTTCCAAATTTTTGCGGGTTAATTGGACATAAGAGTCTTAAAGACCTGGGTTGGCACTGAACAGTGATCCTCAGATCTCAGCTTCCTGAGTGGCTAGGGTTACAGGTGCGAGCCACTGGAACCTGATCTAAGTAAAACTTTTAAATGTGGTATGCCCCTTTCTTTAGTATTTAGTTTTTTTAAGATGTGAACTTAACTAAAAAGAAAAATACCTTAGAATATTTATTTTGTTGGTTTAACTAGTTAGTTGCACAGTAATAGTGATGTTTCTCTCTTATCTTTAAATTGTGGGTATCTACAAAGCATTCCTGATCAGAGGTAATAGCAACTCAATGAATAAAGGAATTCTAATAAGTATTTGGAAATCTTCTCTGGTTATCATTAGAATTCTTTCATATAAATTTATTTTCTACATGATACAGTAACATATACCTGTAATCTCAGCCCTCAAGAGACTGAGACATGAGTTCAAGAACAGCCTAGAGTATGTAGGGAAATGTGAAAACAAAAATAATTTTCAAATATGGACAATGATACTCAACCTTCAAGTACTATAGGATATATTCTATGGTTGCCAGAGGATAGACAATGAAAATATATACAGTGAAAATGTCTGAGAATTTAGGAAAATAACATGGAGTACCTTTGGCTAAAAAAGAGCATAAAAACATGCAGATAATGTATGTAGAGTTTACAAAAAAAATTCCTACCTGAATTCTAACCTCAATTTTCCAGAAAAAAAGAAATGAATCCACAGAAAAAGTAAATCAGTAGCGACTTATGACATACCATGGGGGCTAACAGAACAAATTATATTCCTTAGATTTGCAGCTTTGAGTTCTGAGGTTGAGTGTAGAGACTAGTCTTTTTCCTTGGATGTGAGACAAGGTTAAAAAGCAGCTTTTGGTCACATCCCTTATTTTTAGGTATTAGAACCAGGAAGGAAATTGCAAGCAGAGGTTAAACACACTATTTGCTTTCTTACCAGAGGCCCCACTTTTAAATAATAATTTATTGTCTTTCATTTTATTTTGTTATTACTGCCTACAGCAAATCCATAAGCTAAGGAGAGAGCTGGTTGCATCACAAGAGAAAGTTGCTACTCTTACATCTCAACTTTCAGCAAATGTAAGTCACTTTTAATTTTTTAATAAATCATTTTATATAATGAATAAAGCATTTTATGTAAGAAAATGGAATCATTTTATTACCATCTTCCCGAGTTTAAGTGTCTGAAACTATACAGGTAGAAGTGAACAGTGGGTCTCCTATGAGGTTAACACTTTCTGCTGACTCAGTGATAAAATGATGATCCAAGTTCATGTGGGTCACAATGTATTTAAAATGTCTTTTTGTTCCTTGTAAGATTGAAACAACAGTAAAAGTTACAATGTGTTTTCTTCTCTTATTAAAAAAAAATTTGTCACTATTATACGTAAGTTTCTCATCACATCTATTGGAAGATAAAAGATTCATGCACCCTGCCTCCTCCAGCTATATGTAAGGAGCAATTAGTGAAGCATGTAATTAATTCTTTAAAAAATAAACCTTAACTTAAATATGGATGGTGAAGCAGATGAGAAGGTTTTCTACAAAAACTATGGCAGGCTCCAAAAACAGTTTAAAAGAAGACACTTTTGCTGGCACCAAAACAGCTTAGAATAGAAAAATAATGACAATAAAAACCATCAATTATATTAACAAGCATTTAAATACATCCTGCCAGAGAGTACTCAAATAGAGTAGAGGCAGAATAATAAAGGAAAGCATGTGGCATTGAGCCCAGACCTAAGGAACAGAAGAGTTGGAAGCATTGGGGGAGTGGGGGAAGGGGTGGGCTCCTGCTATTTTTCCATATGTGCTCAAGCTCTAACTCAACACTGATTTGCTCTCTTCTGCTGTGAAGCTTTGGACTCTTCTCTGCCTTTACTATCACTACCTGTGCATGGAGATTGTCTGTCTCAGAGAGAAAACATGATATACCAAAAGTGCGCAACAACAAAATGAATGTATATGCTTTTAATGAGAGACATTTGTAGAACAAAAATATTTTGTAAATTAAGTTCTGAAGGAAATGTTATCTGACCATGTGTTCATTTTTTACCACTATTTTTGGATTTTTTAATATTGAGGTAGTTATGTGAATTAAAGATTATGTCATTTTTTCAGATATTGTTAGTGTACATATTTCACAATTTTTTAAATAAGGGTCAAAATATGAATGGGATATGGACCTAGGATCATTTGTGTGGTTTCTGAAAGGGAGGTGATAATATTCTTTCTCAGTGAAAAAATTTTCAGCTATACAATCAGGTATTTCTAGAGTATTATTTTCTCAAAACTGTTAGCAAATACGAATGTAGAATTCTCAGGGTTTTATGCATATGTATGGTGTCATGGGGCTGTGACTGACTGAAAAGTAAGAAAGAGGGAGAGAAAAAGGAAAGTAGGGAGAGAGGGAGAGAGGAAGAAGAGAGAGAAAGAAAGAGAAAGAGAATAAAGTGATAGCAAGAGGCCCAGAGCTAAGAAGAGAAGATAAGAGAGGAGGTAAGACATATCAGAGAAGGCAGTAGAACACGTAAATAAAGAACGATCTGACAGATTGAAATTTTGTAGACATAGCCTCTTACAAATTATTTTTTTCTCCTTATATAGTATTAAGTAAAGAAAATCATCTCAGAATGAGTTTGAGTTCAGAGCTAGGAACAAAGACACTTTTAAATCATTATGTTCATTGAAGGAACTTACATATTCTTTTACCAATAGTGGAATAAATTTCCAGAGCCCTGAGTCCTAGGCTTATATTCTATTTAATAGAAGGATGCCCCAGCTTTCCAGCTCTGTTACCACTTACAAAGATACGTGTTCTACTTGTGCCCTTCTGCTCATGCCCTTTCCTCTGGGTCCTTTTACCAAGGTTTATCAAATTTGGCCCATGTAATGTATGAAACTATAATTGTGCTTCCAACCCTGGTGAAAGACCAAGGCATCTCCTTGATATTCAGTGTTCAAGCTGTCCCAGAATGGCATGTGAACAGAACCAGCCTATTTTCGAGCTGAATTAAGACTGTCAAACACTTCTCAGTCACACCAGTTATAGTTGTATATTGTGATGTGCATAATTTTTTTGAAATTTAAAATATCCCCTCCCAAATCCACAAATGCTTAATGTTAAATAAAATATGACTGAATAATTATCTCTCTGACTGGCCTACCTTGAGTTCCTTAGTGAAGGAAATAAAGAGCAGGAAGCAAAGCCCTTTTATGAAAGAGAATGGAAAGTGAAGACAAATCTCAATTCAGTTCTTTGTAAGTAGAAAAAAAGGAAAGTTAGCATTATAGCTGTCAGCAGATGTCTGGCACTTGAAGAGAGAATATCATTATAATGGGAGAGCTAACAATATCTTCAAAGGTCATCCTAGAAGTCTAAAAATGAGCAACATTTGTCCATGGACTACTTCCGTGACCTCCTTTTGGGCTTTCTTGCTAAAAATGAGGCAGCTCAGAACTTTATTCAGTATTTTGGTGTCAAATGCCTGTCTGATGTGCAAGTCAGAAGGTGTTATTATTTTCAAAATACCATCCCCTTTTGGGGGGATGAACTCACATTAAATGTCAAGAGATGCAAGCACTGATCTTTAAGAACCCAAAGTTTAGAAGATTTTTGTTAAAGGAGAGTCACGGTAGAGAGCTAACCAGGATGGCCCTGGTACTTTCAGAGTTAGCACACCTGAACTTCAGCATTTTGCAAAGTAAAGGGATTTCATCTGTCCAGATGAATTCCTGACATTTTAAATGTGTTTCTTCCATTTTCTTTACAGGCTCACCTCGTGGCAGCTTTTGAAAAGAGTTTAGGGAATATGACTGGCCGTTTGCAGAGTCTAACCATGACAGCAGAACAAAAGGTATGATATCGCCAGTGAGGCTTGAAAGGAAACAGCTCCTCTCTTAGCATGATTACATAATACCTAAGACATAGACTCTTGAAAACCATCCTATCTTATCCATTTGGTGCTGAATTAGAGCCATAGGGTAATGCTTTTACTTTTCAGATTTTTATTTAAAGACATGATCTGATTAACCTAAACGGGAGTGCACATGTGTGTGTGCACATGCACGCACACGCGCGCACACACACACACACACACACCAAACATATACAATATGCTTGTGTGTCAGTATTGATATTTGAACCTAGGATCTGGGTGTTGTCCTATCTGGGTGTTCACTCAATGCTGGTGTTCCATTTCTGGCTGATTGATGGTTAATTGGAGATATGAGTCTCACAGACATTCCTTCCTTGGCTGGCTTCAAACCAAGATCCTCAGATCTCAGCCTCCTGATTAACTTAGAATTGCAAGCACTTACCACTATTTCTCAGCCCTCCACATGGATTTTATGACACTCATATATATATGTGTGCCTCATATACATACATGTGTATATATAGATATATGCATATGTATATAGATACATGTGCATATTTACACATATGTATATATATATATACATATGGAAAATGATTGTAAAATATATATTTTTTTTCTTGGGTCCGGTTATGGGGTCTGAACTCTGGGCCTGGGCGCTGTCCCTCAGCTCTTCAGCTCAAGGCTAGTGCTCTACCACTTGAGCCACAGCACCTATAAAATATATTTTAAACATAGGACCTTGATGCTGTAAACACTACTCAATACTGTGTGCATATATATATATATATATATAACTATATATGCATATACATTTACACACATATACACATATTCACACACAAAATGATGAATAAAATATGTTTTAAAAATACGAATTCAGCATATAGAATATATTTTAGAATATATGGCACTCTTGGCAAGTATAATAGGAAGCTAACTCATGAAGAAACAATACTGAAGGTGACTGCATGATTTTCTGATAAGCCATGAAAAGGATTAACTAAACTGTAACTCAGATCCTGATCTCCTGGCTTTGCCCTTCAGCAAATCACATGGCATTACTAGGATGAAGTGGCATCAAGATTTTAATTTGATTTTTTTACATCAAAATGACTCCTTCCAATGGGATCCTAACATTTTTTCTTATTTCCAAATGCCAAGAAACATTGATTCTCTTTCCAAAATATCACTTTCCTATGCTTAGCACCCAGGAAGAAAGCAAAGACATATATGAATAACTCAAAAGTCAGGAAATGATTATACCATTGGAAGCATGCAATACCATGAACAGGCTCAGAGAAGATCCACCCATCTCCATGGCGGATTCCAAGGGAAGATAGCAAGAGGATAATCTCATCTTTGAGAGGGTGGAGAGGATTAATTTAGGGGATATGTACAAATGTACTTCACAGAGGCAGAATCAGCCTGCTCATGAGCAACAGAGGACTATTATGTTAGTCATCATTCAAGGAATTGGTCAGAATTTGCTCACAAAGTGCCAGTTGAGAAAGGTTATGATAAAATCGCTACAATAGAAAAAAACTGACAAATATATTTTTCTTCATTCAGTCTTTACAAAACCACTGCTAAACCATTGTGTTCAGATTTTCTGATGTTCTTTTCACTAATATTGAGGAATTGAAAATTGAGAGCATTCAAATTGGTTCCTTCTAGCTGTCCTTCCAGGGACATTAAATGAACATATATATTAAGGTTCCCTAGATTATTATTGATGAAAAGATTAGTGTAGGACAGAGAAATACCTTCTTGTGAAAGTAAAGGAGTTCAGGTATGTTAAGCCTCCTCATTTTTCACCCTGTGAAATACCTTTGCCAGTAAATAGTTGTAGATGAACTTAAACTTTACAAAAGAGGACATGCTGGGTGCTGGTGGCTCATGTCTGTAATTGTAGCTACTCAGAAGACTAAGATCTGAGGATCGCAGTTCAAAGCCAGCCCAAGCAGGAAAGTCCATGAGACTCTTATCCCCAATGGACCACTAGAAAACTGGAAGTGGTGCTGTGGCTCAAGCAGTAGAGTGCTTGCCTTGAGCTGAAGAGTTGAGGGACAGCGCCCAAGCCCAGAGTTCAAGCCCCACGACCGACCAAAAAAAACAAAAAGAGGACAATCAAAGCCAAATCTTTGAAAGCAGAAAATGCTGAAGCTAAGAATTGAGTCAAGTTTGGTCTTTATATTATCTTTTCTCATTTATCATCTACAAAAGTTTTGAAAATACAACTCAAGAGAAATAGACTGAGAACATAGGAAACTAGCAAGAAATGATGATGATAGAATTTGAATGTTATCAAAATACACTATTTACATCTATGAAAATAGAACAACAAAACCTGAGGGAATTGTTTTGGGAAGGACACAGGGAAAATGATAGGGAGGATGAGATTGATTTGGATATAATATCAAGGTGTGTGGAAATGTGACAATGCAAGCCCCTCTCCCATGACTAATGTAAGCTAATAAAAACTACATCTGTATCATCAACTGACATATCTATTCATCCCTAGGGCATACGATAATATGAACCTGGGATTTGGTAGTAAATTAGCAAGATTTCAAGGCGAATGCAAAGAAAATGGAGGGGAAAGGAATGTATTCAAGGAAGCCACAGCAAATTAATACAGAATTAGCTGGATGTTAATGGGAAGTAGAGAGAAAGCATTTAAGTGAAGAGTTTTGAAAGCCCTGCCTAGAAGCTCAGGTTGTTTGATAGGATTCGTTGACAAGCTTGTTGGTTGGTGTCTTAGTGAGGCCTTGAAAGTGAAAAATTTGTAGAGAGCCCAGGTATAATTGGAAAATGACATTGGAAATAACATCAAGAAAAGCTAAGATTGTGACACAGATTTGATTCTTTTATTTTAAAGCCTTCAGACTGATCTTTAGAATGTTTTTTTGGCCTCAGACACATGTCTGAAACTGCTCAGAGAAATAGTGATCACCTCTAAACATTCTGTATTAAAATTCAGCAGGGTTTAGGGTCTCATGTCATGATTAAGTTTTACTAAAGGAAGTGAGAAGAATCAGCAAAGGAAGATCTGATCAGTGCTCCTAAGACCCTTTCAGCATTAGCCATTTTTTGTCTTTCCTTTTCTGTCTAAGGATGAAAGAAGGAAATTGGATACCACTGAATTAAGGAGTAGCCTGTCTTTAAATCTACAGCTTAATGGCATATACATTTCCTGGTGTGTGTGTGTGTGTGTGTGTGTGTGTGTGTGTGTGTGTGTGTGTGTGTGTGTGTGTGTGTGTGTGTGTGTGTGTGTGTGTGTGTGTGAACTGTGGGGAAATTATTTCTTCACCGCAGTCATCTATATACTTAAAATGTTTTATGTTCATCTCTATAATTCTGTTCAGAAAAACAAACTTCATTGCTATTCAAAAGTGATCATTGTACTTTCATATCCATACAAAACAATGCTCAAAAGGAAATATACTCATTACCTTGCTCATGTAACTGTAGCCTCTCTGTACAACATTTTTACAATAAACATACAAAAATTATATTTATAATAAGGAATAGATTTTGATATTTTTAAATACCTTTCTCTAAGTGATGAGAGACTCTCTTATAAAGAAGAAAAGTTATACATAATAACATTGAAGATTAATATTATTCTTTGAAAGGGAAATGCATCTTTTGGACACATGAGCAACACCATCCTCACATTTGCTGAGATCAAAAATCACTTGAAAAGATCTATTTCTCAAACAACTGAATAAATATTTGAATGCACTAAATTGGAGGCACACACAATGGTCTTCCTATTTGTTTATGACGAGATGTAAGAGAGAGGTATTTAAAGCAAGGGGGGAAATCACATGAAAAAACTCAGAAAGAAGAGATGGTCTGTAGTAGCTGGAATGACAAGGAATGAACATCTCATTAACAGACCTAAGATAGTAGGCAGGAATTTTTCTAGGTAAGGGAAGATATGAAGAGCAGATTCAAACAGATTATGTCAATCAGTAGAATTTAACTATCTTTCATTAAACACTGTGGAATATACTAAGGTTTTTGCTTATACTTCTAAAGTACTTTTAAAGAGCAATGATGGAACTAATTCAGCTGGACTAATTTTTTCACAGATGTTATCTTTCCCTAGACATACAGTAAAGGTATTTCTTACCTAGCTGATTACTGAGGCATACCATGTTAAAAACAGCCTGTTAATATCCGTTGTTTGAGAAAAGAACTTTTAATGGTCCTTCCTCTAGGTCATATCAAGTACAGTATTGTAAATTGCAACATTTCCTGAACATTCTATTTTTAGTCATTTATTTGAAGTTTCTAGAAAAGATGTAAGTGAAGTAAGCCAGGCCCAAAGAAACATAGGTCCCATGGTTTCCCTTATTTGCAATAACTAGTATATGTCTGAGACAAGCAGAAACGGTCAGATAAGTTGATGTTAAGTGAAATGAACCCCAAGATAAGGATTCAAATGTTTTTTCTTTCTGGCTATTGTTTCTAACATATTTATAAGATATTTCTTTGTTGCTTTGTATGTCCCTCCCCCCACAGTATAACCCCTGTTTTCACTGTATTTGATGTCGGTATAATTTGTGGAGCAGAAGGGAAAAAACAAATGGTTTAAATAGGGATATAGGTGGACCCATTGCAATTATGAGATGTACAAGATGTTATGTCGAAAATGAACTTTACAACTTTGGCGTAGGGTGGGGGGAGATGGGAAGGGTTGGGAAGGGGAAACAAAGGAGGAGGCAACAGTGCTTGATAAGAAATGCACTCATTACCTTGCCCATGTAATTGTAACCCCTCTCTACATTATTTTCATAATAAAAGAAAGAAAGAAAAGATTTTTCCAGATGAGAGTAAAATTTTGACATAGAAATGAGTAAGCTTGCTCAAAATTAAGCTCAGCTTTTATATATTTGTATAAGATCTCATTCACATTGTTGTTCATTAAAAATATAGCCAAATATTTTAGCAGGCTTTTAATCCACAGTATAAGCATCATTGATTTCAAATTAAAGGATGAAAATCAGACTTTAATTAAAAGTTAACATGCATCCTAGTGTTTGCTTCAGAAAATTAATATTTATATTATCAGATTCACTAATTCTTATGAAAGCCGATTTTATTTGTAGTCGACATTATCTCATACAGGGTTATTTTAAATGGCAAATAAAGATAGATAATTTACTTTGGCTATCTTTCTTTTTGAATTTAGGTTAGTATTGTCATTAGACATTCCCATCTATGAATCAGGTTTTTTTTGTGAAGAAAATCCTTAGCATTTGTCCTATATTCTGGGGAACATTTAGTAAGGATAAACTATTTACCATGAGGTGAAGAGCTCAAGGCTGATTATTTAGTTTTCTGAAAAAACAACTAGAGAAAGTGATGAATGACAAATACGTTCCCAAGGAATTCTACTTCTAAGAATGCATCACCTTCAAGAATGCATCACCTTCAAGAAAAGTAACCTTCTGGGCACATAGTGCAATCCTGTAATCCCAGCACTATTGCTTTGAGAATTGCAAGTGCAAGTTCAAGGTACATTAAGTGCTGGGAAGGTGGCTCAGAGGTAGAGTGCTTGCCTGTTATGCATGAGGCCCTGGGTTAAGTTCCTCAGCACCACATAAGCAGAAAAAGCTGGAAGTGGCATTGTGGTTCAAGTGGTACAGTGCTAGCCTTGAGCTGAAAAGCTGAGTGACAGTGCTCAGAACACCCCTCCCCCCAAAAAAGATCCTATCTCGATAAAATAAAAAATATATTAAAAATATCTGTCACTCATCATCTGATGAAAATATTGTGTATAGTGAAACAGCACTCTGTTATTTTCCTTTTTTATGCTTTATTTCGGCTCTCTTCTACTTAAATATCTGTGAAAGACTAGATTTATAGAATAGTTTGTATTAGGACATATCACTAAGTTCAGCAAAAGCTTACATTTTATAAAAATTGAATTTCTAAGTTGATTTTCTTGCAAATGTGGCTATTATCTGAGGACTGTATATTGCATGTTTCAATTTGATTATTTGAATTTTGAATTAGCATACATTACGCATACAAGAGGTGTTTCATTATCATAACACCACATATGTGTGTGGCATGAACCGAGTCGGAGGCACAGTCACTTCTCTATGTATTCCTGTGTTGTTTCAGCTGGAGAAGCCTAGATCTCCACACTAGGAATCGTAGTAGATGAAAAACATCAGAAACTATCAGGACCCTTGTTCTGCTGGCAGAATTCTATAAGATGGTACTTAAGTCACAGGAGTTGAGTTAGTAATATGTATCAGGCTTTACATTGGGATACATAAAATGAGGTACCAAACAGTGTACAGTACTTTAGACAAAATCTAAAATCACTTATTAGACAAATACTCAACATTTCTAGTTGACAGTAATTACAGTTCAATGCAATAGTAAAATACTGACATTTATGTATCTGATGTCAACAGGTAATGTTAACAAGTTTTGGTACCTAAACTGAGCCACTCTGTGAAAGAATTAAAGACTATTTGTTTGTACTGAGGCTTGAACTCAACCTTTCATGCCTACCATGCAGGTGCTTTACCATTTGAGCCACACATCTAGCTCTAGTTTTCTTATATTTTGGGTGTAGGGTTTTATCTTTTTTTCCAGGGCATACCTTCATCTGTAAATCTCTTAGGTATTCCTTCTGGGATGGGATTTAGGCATTATATGTGATTATAGATACGTACCTTTATCCCCAGCTATTTAAAACACCTTTATAAGACAATAACTAAGAACATTTAAAAAGTTCTTTTACTTTAGCCCACAAAGTGGTAAATACAATTTAACAGGATCATCTAAGCATCCAAACCCTCTGCATGTGGGTACCAACCCACCCAATGGTCAAATACAAACAAGCACGTTTTATTTTTTTTCTCTCAATATTAAAGCTTCCAAACTTTGTTTATTCCATAGGAATCTGAGCTTATAGAACTACGAGAAACTATTGAAATGCTGAAGGCCCAGAACTCTGCTGCTCAGGCAGCCATCCAGGGAGCACTGAATGGTCCCGACCACCCTCCCAAAGGTATTGATTTAATTTGTTTAGTTAGAATAAAGCTGCATTTACCAGGAGGCAGAGCCTTTATCATGTGTAAAGTAGAATGCATGCATTCAGAATTCCAAAGTTTCTAAATGGCAGCTTTCATTATCAAATAATGTTTAAGTCGACCCTTATGTATTCAACTCTGTGAATATGAGCATGTGCATGTATGTGTGTGTGTGCATGTACACAGACACACAGACACACTCAGACACACACACACACACACACACACACACACACAAACACCTTTCTCTCAACCTGATCTGGGTAGAGGACAATGGGATGATTGTTAGGGCATATATATCGGACATATTTTATTGCATAATAAGCCCAGTCAGATCCATATAGAAAAATGAAATCATTAATCAGCTATTAAGTGGGCATGGCGACCCACTTTGTCGTGGAATCAGTAAGAAGGTATATTTCCTACAGGTAAATTCAAATAATAAAACAATTAAAAATTGGCCCACTTGATTATTACCATGCTTCTGTGATTTTACACAATAAAAATGAAAATAGTGTTCCTTGTTACCATTCTTGCCCACTGAAGAAGTGCTCATTTTTTGTCATGTCATTTGTTTCTTTACATACATCCTATTATCTACTCAGGCCCTCACTCTGAGCAAATAGTCTCTATTCTCTCCCAATTTGAAATGAGTTTCCTAAATCTTGCATTCTTACTGTCTCTCTTCCCATTTCCAGATTAATTCTGGGGGGAAGAAATTCAAGCTTGGTGCTGATGGCTCACATCTTATAACCCTAGCTACTCAGGAAGCTGAGATGTGAGGACCGTGATTCAAAGCTAAAACCCAAATTTGAAAGTAGAGGTGTGTCTCAAGTGTTTTTTGTTTTTTTTTTTTTGCTTTGAGCAAAAAAGCCAAATGATAGCCTATGGCCCTGAGTTCAAGCTCCAGTACTGGTGAAATAATAATAATAATAATAATAATGGCAGTAGTAGTAGTAGTAGTAATATAAATAAAATTGAGTTTTTCCGCATGTTTAGTCGCTAATGGCCATCGTGAGCCCACAGCTTGTGTTCTCTCCACTTCCTCAAACTATTCTTTCCAGCAGTCATTAATAACCAAATGACACCATCTGGGAAAGGGTTTAAAGTTCTTGTGACACACAGTAAAACAGCTATTATACATACCCCATGTCCTTTGACAACTTTACGTCTGCTGTCATTCTTATTGCACCTCACTCCTTTCTAAATGAGTTTTAATAGATTTCATTAGACTGTATTCATGCATTCATGTCAAACACTTTGATTATATTCATTACCATCTTTCCTTACCTGTCCTTTCTTCTTCTCCCTGGTCTCTCTAGTTTCCTCCCAAAGAAAATCCTTATTTAATAATTCAGGTGATTCTTTTTTTCTTTGCTTTTATGGTTTAGATGCCACATACGAGAGAGGACATGCTGTATTTGTCTTTCTCATTCTGACTCATGTTGCTTAACATGATGATCTTCAATTCTATCCATTTTCTTGCAAATGATATAATTTCTTTTTCTTTGTGGTTGAATAATAATCTGTTCTTCATCCATTCTTTGATTAGGTGGCATCCAAACTGGTTTGGGTATATTTTTTGATATCCACTCACTCTTTTGTATCTATTTGTAGTTAGCAATCTTTTAAGCTCTCTTTTACTAATTCTGTACCTTACAAGTCTATATATCCTACCTAAAATGTAACAAAAGGTCATCTGATACTCTAGCTATAATGGGCACTGGTATGTTGATAACTGTCTAATCTGTGTCTCTAGACTCCATTGTACTCCTGAGAAACATATTCTTCTTTCCAACTTACAGGACAAATCACTTGGACATCTTTATTTGTCTCCTTGGCATTTCTATGCGAAAGAAAACCACTCTTGAAATGGGCATTTTTTTTCTTCTCTCATATCAAATTCCCCATCAGTTCTCCTTACCTTGTAAATGACACAACCATCCTTCCATGTAGCCAGGAATCTAGATGTCAGTCATAACTACTTCTATCTGATTGAATAAATCAACAAATTCTGTTGTTTACCCTTTGACTAGATCTGAATTTGTCACTTTTTCTCTAATCCTTCTGTCATCATCCCTCATTGTCCACTGACCATGAACACAGCCTCCATATAGCCTTTCTGTCTTTAATCTTTTCCTAGTTTGCCTCATTATTCAGTCAGAGCAACAATCCAATACCAGTATTCGTATGGGTCTTCTGGGGCCTTGTATTAGAAAGGTAATTTCTCAACAGGAGATAAGCATGTTTGCCAGCTCTATTCATTCAATAAATACTTACTTAGTGAGTGATAATTATGAACCAAATGCTGGTATGGTTTTTGTTTTTTGTTTTTTTGTTTTTTTTTACTTTACTTGCATTTCTTTCAGTTCACCCTAAGTTCTTAGTGCAATGTGTTTATTCCACTCAGAACATTCCATCCTGTGTTTAATTTAAAGACTTTCTGGAAAACCGTAGGACTTAATCTGAATAGGCCTTCATGAACCCCAAAGTGGATGATGTCCCTTGTAATATGCTTTTGGAAGCAGCTGTAAAACTTTGATTAAAAATAATATAAATGCGTGATAATGTAAATCTGTGGTAGGACATTAAAAGGTGTGTGTGTGTGTGTGTGTGCGCGCGCACGCGCGCGTGCGTGCGCGCGGGCTTGAATGCTCCAGCAATACTTTGGGCTTTTTGTTGCTTAATTGGCAATAACATTCTCACAGGCTTTCCTGCCTGGACAACTTTTGAACCGCAATTCTCAGATCTCAGCTTCCTGAGTAGCTAGGATTACTGGTGTGAGCCACCAATGCCCAGCTTTAGGTCTTGTTTTCATATCCCAGTGCAAGTGATTATCAGTTTATCATCACTCTATAACAAGCTTGCTTGCGTTTTATAGAAATAATAACCTATCAAAAATATATACTGTAGTTTAAATTTTAGGGAAAAATATATAAAGTGAGCTATATTAAAGTTGAAAGTCAAAGTAGTTTTCTGTGGGCTCCTTCTGTTAAGTATTTAGCAACTTTCCATGTGGGGAAGTTAATTTATATGCGACATGGAAATCACTGCATATTTAAAGCTTATCTTAGAGCTATAATAAAGCAGCTTATGTTCTAAATCTTCATGTAGTAAATAGGTCCAGAAGGGATTTAGAAAGGCTTAATCCTTTCTTTAATACAGCACAAGCCACTGAAGTGAAACTTTCTAAAAGGATTCCTTTTATCTTAGGCAACAGGTAGCTTGGTATATCTACTGGAATTTTGAAAAAAGGAATTCCTTCACAAAATAATAATTTATACCTAGTCTGCAAATACTAAAAATATTGAAAATTTCCACCTTTTACATCTAGCAAAATACCTAGTTGTAAAGTGTTGACTGTATATAGTATACGTAGACCATGTTTTTGAAATACTAAAATTACATAAATTTTAATAAAAATAAAATTCCATATATCATAGTGGCCACTAATATTACTTGGAGAACCAGATTAATTCTTTATCTTTTTTATGGGTTATTTGGGTAATTAGGTAGCCAGAAATCATATTGATATTAGTTTTTGATACTTTTGACGTATTTGTGTTAAATAAATTTTTGACATACAGTCTGAAATGATTCAGGCAATACTTAAAATGAGGCCAAAGATTACAAACCACATACCAATTTATTATTTATTAATTTCCATCTATTTTATCTAAGTTATATGTTACTAACATCTAATTTATGACAAAAGTTTATAATGAAATAATGTCTTCACTTTCAGACATATTTCATCATCTGATACACACTTTGAGCTCTATCATATATTAAATATCAAGTTAAAAACAAATGTTTCCAAGTGGCTCACAATTTATTATAGTAAAGGCAGAATACATGTTTACATATGTATTTATTTACACATCTATTTTAAACAACTATGACAAAGGTAATTGTTATGAGGCTTAAAGTTGAAGCTATGTAGATTGTTTTATCCAAATAAAATACTGGATTTTTAAGTCATTACTTCTCTTTGACACAAAAGAGTTTTGGATTTTTTTTTGAGAAGTACCAAGGGGGACAGGTCTGTGATTCCCGCTACAATGAAGGCACAGATAGGAGGATCATAGTCTAGGTTGGCCGCAGACACAAAGTACAAAAAGACCTTAGAAAATATAAAATAAAATATAAAAGGCATTGAAAATATTTACTTAAAAACAGACCATGAACAATGTGGCTTAATTGGTAGAATACCTGTCAAAAATGTATGAGGTCCTGAGTAACACACACACACACACACACACACATACACTCACACTCACACACACACACACACAAATACAGTTCAACTATACATGTACATATATATGTAATTGCCATTATACTAAGTCCATTTTAGCGTTGGTAAGTGAACACAATTTTGTTGAATGAACATCTAGAATAAATGTACTTCTGTCTGGGAATGTGGCTTAGTGGTAGAGTGCTTGCCTAGCATGCATGAAGTTCTGGGTTTGATTCCTCAGGACCACATAAGCAGAAAAAGCCAGAAGTTGTGCTGTGGCTCAAGTGGTATGGTACTAGCCTTAAGGAAAAGCAGCTCTGGGACAGTGCCTAGGCTCTGAGGTCAAGCCCTAAGACTAGAAAAAAAATGTATTTAACACCTATATCATTCACATACTGAATGTATGCCTTGGATAAAAGCAGTAAGAGTAAACAAAACAAACATCGGAAAGCTCTTCTCCATTGAACTTTCCGTCTAACGGGAGAGGAGTGACTCTTGACTAAGATGGAGAGGAACAGGGCACCATAATAAAGACAGTACCAGGAAACCTGCTGGAGGTTGCATGGTGATTTAGAAACACTTCCATTTTAGCAATACTTAAGGGAAGTTTCAAAGAGTAATTATGAGGTCATACTGTAAGTGCTACAGGAAGAGCTTTCCAGGAGGGCCTCAAAGCACAGAGGAGATAGGTGTCATTGGCAAACTGATATAAAGAGAAAAGTGAGCAAAGGTGAAATAAGCAGAACATAGCTGTACTGAGCAAATTACTGGGGAATTTGGACCATTGGTTTTTCACAATTGGATTTTTCTATGCTTATTAAAATTAGAATCCATTAAAAAGTTTTAAGAAAAGGAGTGATGGTGATTTCTTTTTCCTTCTGAAAAGATTTCCCTAGCTCCTGTTTATAAAAACAGTTGGAAGATGAGTAATTTAGATAGCGTTACTCGCTCGCTACATGTAATGTTCTTTGACTGGAGCTGGGGCATCGGGGATGCAGAGGAGAGGAGATAGAAAATGAATGAGTGAGCAAATACATATCTGAAAATTATACTTTTCTAGCAGGTATCTCATTATTCAAATGGTTGATATTCATTTGTAATCATTATTTACTTGGTCTATAATGCCCCCAGTACTCAAGTCCTTATTAGCAGTAGAAAAGAATTGTAAGGGGAAGGTAAAATGCATCTCCTTTGTTCCATAATATTATTAAAACTATTATGCTGCTAGTCTTTCCTGGCAAATGAAGTTATAGTTAAAGGTAACTCAGGCCTCCAAAGTACACTTTTGACTATAATTATGATAATTTACCTGGCTTTTAAGTTCTGTGCCTTTAATAAAAAGTGAAATATAATTTATTAACTGTACATATCATAAAGTCTCCAGAACTCTTACAGTTTATACATTTGTCCTATTGGTGAAAAATAGGAAGGAAAAGCCATCAGATGCTCTAGTAAGTTTAGAAAATTTACAGGCACTGTAGCAGAGATTAAAACATGAATTAAAACTCATATTCTTACATTATTTATTTATATGACATATATATATATATATATTAGAAAATTAAGAGATAGGAGCCTCCTTTATTGTGTAACCTAAACAGTAAACATCAATACCTTGATTGAGGGTTCTGGAGTTTGGTTATATTTCTTGCACATAAAACCAATAAATGTTCTCATTATTTTTACAAAATTAGTTTAAGAAATAAAACTGCATATTCTGAAATTTACTGTTCTTTATGAAGCTTATGAGAATGACCATTAATGGAAAAATTAAGTTATGGGTATATGAGTATGAGAACAAATATATATGTATATATATATCTCCACTTATATCTATATCTATATCTATATATCATGTGTTTTATACATACATATTACATAGTCACATATAAACTAATATAAAGTAACCACTTATAGTTGTTTTTCTAAATTGGTCAACTCAAAGGCTTGTGTTCATATTATTATTTCTGTGGAAATTTTAAGAAATATGTATACTAATCTTTTGATATCTTACAAGTTTCCCTGAGATTTGTTTTGGGGATGAAGGCTTGGCTAATTCTCAAAGATACCAATCAAACATATTAATTGGAATATCTTAAAAGCAAATTTGGCCTTATAAATGTTCTTAGTATCTTACTAATTGTTATCAGTTTAATTTTAATAGATATAGCTTATGAATTATTTACATAGAAAACTGAAGGCCTTTAAAATTCATTGAATATAAAATGCTACAATTTTTCAAGTATTCCCTGTATCCTAAGAAACAATGTATGGGGCTGGGAAGGTGGCTCAGTGGTAGAGCGCTTGCCTTGCATGCATGAGGCCCTGGGTTCGATTCCCCAGCACCACATAAGCAAAAAGAAAAAAAAGCTGGAAGTGGCGCTGTGGCTCAAGTGGTAGAGTGCTAGCCTTGAGTTGAAGAGCTGAGGGACAGTGCCCAGGCCCAGAGTTCAGGCCCCACTACTGGACTCCCCCCCCAAAAGAAACAATGTATGCTGTTTAGCAGCATAACACAGCTGTATTACATGGTAGTCCAATAGATACTAGAATTGGTTGGCCTCTGAGGTTGGATTCATATTTTCAACTATGTAGCCTGTGAAAAGTGTTTTAGAAGCTAAACTCATTTATCGGATTTAATTTAAGAGTAAAATTAGGTACTGTAGAGGCATACTAAGCATTATTATTGTTGTTCCTAGCCTAAGTCAAGGACAGGGAGTGAGGCATGCTAGAAGAATTACACTTCATTAAATTTATTCTCTGTTTAATTTACAAAGAGCCTACCTCAGCTCTCTTGAGCATCCGCCTTCGCCACTTCTTTGACCTTGGTCAAGTTACATAACTTCTTTATACTTCAGTGTCCTCTGCTCTGACATGATATGAGTTTCATAATTTGTATTGGCTACAAGGTGGTACAATTCACTGAAATGGAAAGTTATATATTTGGCTTTGATAACTCATCAAAGCACAAATATTAAAAGGACAGAATTAACTTACATCCTATTATATTTTCCCATGGAACTAATCATTCAGAATAAATCATTTTGGAAGTACATTTTGGCCCAGGTATTCAGTAGAAAGCACCAGCATAACATTTCATTCTTGGATAAAATTCAGAACTCATTAAGCCTCCAGTATTAGGCATTCATATGAGATTCCCATTGAATCTTATCATAGAAAACTGCTCACTAAAGCAAATGTGGTTGTACTGTATTAAACTCGTAAGATGGAAACTTTCCAAAATAAACTTATAAAGTCTTGTTGAACTTTATTGGAGAACTTCCTCTCCGAAAGCATCAAAGACATGTTTGTCCAGATTGCAACTCACAGAATGTGACCCTCTCTATTATTGCCAGATCTCCGCATCAGAAGACAACATTCCTCAGAAAGCGTGTCTAGTATCAACAGTGCCACAAGCCATTCCAGCATTGGCAGTGGTAATGATGCTGATTCCAAGAAAAAGAAAAAGAAAAATTGGGTAAGCCTTTTTTACTTATCTAATTCAGTGCTTCATTATGGTGTGATGACTTAGATATTGTTCTTATTCTTGAGACTTCAGAGATCTATAGTGGTTTACAAAGTGTATTCAAAGAACTGGTGTGCTTAACACCAAGATTAGGCTCTCATAGTGCTGAAAAGCATACATGTTGGAGTTGTTAGGATAGAGACAAAGAAGTATAGGATTATGAAGATGATGGTGGTGGTGGTGATGATGGTTTTGTGGTAATGATGGTAGTAGTAGTGCTGGTGGTGGCAGTGATGATGATGATGATGATGATGATGGTGATGGTGATGATGGTGATGGTGATGGTGATGAGAGTGGTAGTGGTGGTGATAATGGTGATGGTTGTGGTTGTAATAATGATGGTGGTAGTGGTGATGATGGAGGAAATGGAGTATTGGATTGGATAAAAGTACACATGAGTTCTTGGAAGTCATTCGTCACCATGGAGTCCACAGGACTCCAAGTTCCATCCCATACAAAATCATCTACATTAGTGTTTCTGTTTTATTTTTTACTTAAGAGAACCCAATAGAAATACAGAAAAGAATTGCCACAGAATTGCACCTTAAGTTTGCAAGGGATGTGTTTTGGCATAATGGTATTATTAAACAATTACTTAAAACAGAACAATTGAAGAGAACAAGCTGACACTGCAGAAAGTTTAAGCACGTTGAAGTAAAGGATTTCCTTTGTTTCTACCACACAAAGGTGGATGTGTAATGAATGCAATTCTTGAAATCTAAAGCAAAACTATCAGGATTTACCTGGAGTACTTTCTGTAAATAATGAAAAATATATATCTTTTTTGTTTTGAAAAAATGTTTATGCAGGTTTTATTTTAAAATACTGATCCGCCTTCATTCCCTTGATTTGTAATTCCACACTCTTTCATGTTTCTGCAAGGTGAACTGTAGAGGAAGTGAGGTGAATATAACCGGTGGACAATTTGGCATGCATCTATACAAAAACCCCTCCCTTGGCATGAATGCTATTCATTTTGGCAGTAGGCTTTTATACCTCTTAAAAACAGATTACCTTGTATGTCTTTTCTTTGTGTCTTTTCCATTTTAATCTCAAATTTGAAAGGAAAGCAAAACCTCTTTCTGAATAGAGCTGTAGGGGACACCAATTCTGGTTTTCAATAGTCTGGGATTTGAAAATTTGAATAGAAAGCCACAATTAATGAAGTGGTAGGTGAATTTGATTTCATTTTGCTTTTTAAGTTTATACTGTCAGCAGGATATGACTTGATTGTAGCACTAAAGTGGCCATTTAAAACAAATTGCCTTGAAGAGAGAAAGCACTGGGAGTGGAGATCCCTTCAAGGTACTTAGTTTTAAATGAGTGCTCTGACAGCCGTGCCCTTGACCTTGCACTATTTTAAATCCTCCCATGTTTGCGCTGAGCTGGATTAATACAAAGATAAAGGGAAAACACTGAATGCAGTATCATTTGATATATTTTTTAGAGATACTGTGCTGCATTTGTTAATACTCTGCTTATTTATACTGACCCCAGGCAGTGGCTAGGATGGCACCTGCTAACTAACGCCCCTAAGCCAAAGTCCTCCAAGGACAAATAGACAAGGAAGGTAATTTCTGTCCTTCTTTCAGCTGAGAAGCTCTTTCAAACAAGCCTTCGGAAAGAAAAAGTCCACCAAGCCTCCTTCCTCTCACTCGGACATCGAAGAGCTTACTGATTCCTCCCTTCCAGCCTCACCAAAACTGACCCATAATGTTGGAGACTGTGGCTCAGGATCCATGAAGCCATCTCAATCTGCCTCTGCGTAAGTGTCTTTCTGAAGGCTGTCCACCTGTTTATGAAACAACAGCCTCAGGCCAAGCCCCATGTATATATTCAAAACGGGACCAAGTGCCACCTGCCTGACCAATCTCAGATCTGTACTGACCATCTCCAGAGTTTTCTGGGAATGGTAGAGAAAATTTACTTATGCTTTGTTTTTTTTTGTCGGTCGTGGGGCTTGAACTCTGGGCGTGGGCACTGTCCCTCAGCTCTTCAGTTCAAGGCGAGCGCTCTACCACTTGAGCTACAGCGCCACTTCCGGTTTTCTGGTGGTTTATTGGAGATAGGAGTCTCACAGTCTCTCCTGCCCGGGCTGGCTTTGAACCGCGATCCTCAGATCTCAGCCTCCTGAGTAGCTAGGATTACAGGCGTGAGCCACCAGCGCCCGGCGTTGCTTTGTTTTTCTGAACATTAAAATACAAATGCTTCTTGATCCTACTCTCCACTTCTCTAATTATTGTACTTCTTTTTTTCACTGGAATTATCCATCTATCTGTCTGACTGTGCACACACGCAGGTCACCCCTTGTCTGGCCACCAAAGAAAAGGCAAAATGGCCCTGTCATCTACAAGCATAGATCTCGGTAACATGGTTTGATGCATACGAGAGCTGTCAAGATTGGAATGCTAACCTAGCAGTATTTGCTTCTGTTTTCTCTAAAACCACATGCATGCATTCCACCCACAAATACCTTCTCTGTGTTTTCAATTACAACTTAGTTTCTTAAAAAAAAATCAATCTGCAATCTGTTTGTCTTTCATTGTATCGGATATTGGATAATCTAACATAGTATTTCTATATTAGCTCACTTTGTGTTGGAGTGTGTGTGTGTTTACCTGTGCATGTATGTGTGCCTGCTGGTACTAGGGCTTGAACTCAGAGCTTAGGCCCTGCCCCTTAGCTTTTTCTCTTTTTTGCTCAAGGCTAGTGCTCTAACATTTGTGCCATGTTGTGCCATGATAAGAAGATTCTGTTTTATTTACTATTTAAACTCTGATTTTCTTATGCACCCAAGACAATGACAGCTATAGAATATGGATTCAACAGGACCTTTATGCTGTGGCTACTTAATTTTACCTCTTCCATAATTATGAGGGAAGAGTGTGTCATGGCATATTGTAATCAACAATCTGAATCCAAATACTATTTTAAATGATAATAATGTAAAATTAATATAAACAAATTCCTTTGCCTGATTTTCTACAAAGCTGTACACAAAACACAAGTGTATGACGTATATGACCTTCACACAGCTCTCCGCTAGCCTGCCTGTGTGGGCAGCTAAGGCACAGACTTTAGTCTGTACCTTAGCTTCACGTGTTGTGATCTCCTAAATCTGCTGAGCCCATAGGAAGATTATATAACACTCATCCATTATTTAAATGTTTCAAGCTAATCTCTTTAATTTATTTTTGACAATAGTTATGTTGGATTTTCATAACTAAATGTTAGTGTGAAGCAAATAAGGTTATGGTATGTACACTTTTTTAAAAAAAGAAATCAACGTTGTGAGATACAATAACTTGGCTTTTTAAAAGGAAAAATTTGCTGGGCACTTGTATCTCATGCCTGTAATCCTACCTATTCAAGAGGCTGAAAGCTAAGGATTATGGTTCAAAGCCAGCTCAGACAGGAAAATCCAGGTAACTCAATTAACCACCCAAAAATACCCAGAAATGGGGGTATGGCTCAAGTGGTAGAACACCAACCTTCAGCAACAAAGCTGAAGGACAGCACCTACATCCTTAATTCAAGCTTCATAATTGTACAATAAGAGGGGAGGTAGGGTAGGGAGAGGGAATATTTCACAAGTTGCCAAGCATATAGAATGAAATACAGTAATACTATGACTCCTCTGTTCTGTATGTAATCACAGCAATCACAGAATTTTAAGGATCACTTAGCATTTCATAACAGTACATTGTTTTGTAAACTTCAGAAAATAAGAAGAAAAGATCAAGAAGGACATTTAGTTTGCAGTTTTGGACTTGTCATTGCATTACTATTGCTGGAACTCTCTCCTTTTTCTAGGTCTTGCCAACAGCCCATGATTTTTGGATGCTATTACAGTTCAGCCCTTAAAAGAGGGATTTCTTTTACTAATCTTTTGACTCTCCCCCTCCTCCCACCACCGACACCACTGACTTTTGTGTTGTTTTTTTCCTTTAGGATCTGTGAATGCACAGAGGCTGAGGCAGAGATAATTCTGCAGCTCAAGAGCGAGCTCAGAGAAAAAGAATTAAAACTAACAGATATTCGGCTGGAGGCCCTCAGCTCTGCCCACCATCTTGATCAGATCCGGGAAGCCATGAACAGGATGCAGGTCTGTGCTGAATTCAGCATGTTTTGAGAAGGAAATGGAAAAATTATAATTCTGGAGGGCAATTTTTTTTTCCTTCCTCTTGTCTGGCTTTCCCTACAACCAAGTTCACTCTTAAAGCCGTTGTGGAATTGTCCTCTGTGTCTACAGTTTTTACAACTCAGTTTTTAGTACTAAATGGAGAATTTTCTGAATTCTAGTTTGGCAGTGAGAAAGCAAACTAGGCAGTTCTATTCAAGGATCATTAAGGATACTTGTACTAGTGATTACATTCTGGCTGAAAGTCATGTTTTACAGAAATGACTGCAATTTTTGATTCTTCACTCTTCTATGAGTTACCTTTATATTAGCATTGTTCTAGAAAGTTATTCTTTTGAAATCTGACTTTCAAAAATACCTTTACCTACTTTCCATTGAAAAACAAAAATAATGAGGGGAATACATGCTTCAAAAGAAGCATTCTGAATATAAAAGTAAAAGTGATTTAGAAGGCCAACTGTAAAAGTAAAGCTTCTGTATCTTTTGGATGCATCTCAAAGCTAAATTCAGAAGTAGTGAGTGCTTAGAGTAAATTCTTATTTTATTATTGTAAATCAATAATCCCTACTACCACAGACAATAGAAGAAAGAAAATACTCATTTGCTGAGCAGATTCATCTGCCACTGTATAGATTCACAAATAGGCTTATGTTGTTTTTATGAGCTTAGTACTTTATTTTGGAAAAAACACCTTTTTCCATTTATTAGCTAGTATGCTGAAATAACTATAAATCACCTTGTTTGTATTATTTCTTTTCTCTATTTTTCTGGTCCCCCTGAATTCAGGGAAGTAAGGTAGCATTATTTGCCTACAAGATTCTAATACCACTTTAAAAATAAGTGTGAGGAACTATCAAATTATGTTATTCTTTTGGTGTTTTGTTTGTTTCTGTGCCAATGATTTCAGCCTCACAGTCACACTTGGCTTTTTCAGTTAAGGCCAGCACTGTACCCTAGAGCCACACCTCCACTTCCAGCTTTTGAATGGCTGATGGGAGACAAGTCTCTTAGACTTTCCTGCCCAAACTGGCTTTGAACTGTGATCCTCAAATCTTGGCCTTCTAAATAGCTAGAATTACAGATGTGAGCCACCAGGACCTGGCTATATTATTCTTAATTCAAATGAGACTAAGTCCTGAAAAACTTTTATGAAATATGATATTTTTAAATATTCAATAGGAATGAGAATACAGCTTAGTGTAGAGTTCATACCTAACATGTATGAGACCCTAGGTTCAGTTCCTAGCACCCCAAATAGTTAACAACAACAATAGCAATATGGTGTCTATTGTATGATCCCAGGTGTACGTACCTGTAAGAGTCAGAGCAAAAGCTGACTTTCCTTCTGTACGAGAAAATGCTGTTTTTAAATCATTTGTATTTATTTAACTTATTACCTTATACTTTAACAAACTACCCGCCTCCCCTACAAACCTTGGCACCTTTCCCTCTGTTTTCTGTCTTTGTAACAGAATGAAATAGAAATACTAAAGGCTGAAAATGATCGGTTGAAGGCTGAAACTGGTAACATTGCTAAGCCTGCTCGACCACCATCAGAATCCTCAAGCACTGCGTCTTCCTCTTCTTCCCGGCAGTCCCTGGGGCTTTCCCTCAACAACTTGAACATCACAGAGTCTGTTACCTCAGGTGAGTTAGTGCATATGCCTGTCCAACCCACAGCTGGTCTACAGCTCAGCAGGGATGGGCACATTTAGAATCTGGAGATCATTGCCCTTCAGAATGTTAACATGCATGCTCAAAAATAGCCCTATTTTTATCTTCAAACATTTTCTACTTGTAATTTTATAAGAATATTCTCTGTGAAATATTGAATCTTAGAGGTACAGTTTTCAAACTATGTTTAAAAAAAATTTCTTGCACTTTGGGAGGACAGCATCCTTGAATATTCTTGGAGATGATTAATACTCCCGGAATATAATAACTCCATGGCAGTTAATAGAGTTTTCAGTGTACAAAGCCATTTCTGAATTCAGCTAGATGGGCCTTCTCGCTGTTGCCTAGGGAAAACACAATGTTGCTGTGTCACCCAGCCTGCAGCTTTATTAAATTTTCCGCAAACAAAAGAAAATGCTAGGTTGTTATTGTGCACAGCAGGACTAATGGTAGAAGAAGGGTAGAGTTTTGATTCAATTTCAGGCAGAATCACATGATACTGTTTCATCTTGATATATAATGAGCCATTCACTTATCAAGTAGAACTGTTCCTATGACATTGAATCATTTGATATATGTAGAGTTTGGTAGGAAATGTTTACATGAAGATCTGTGGTAATTACAAAGTCCAACCACCAGATGACGCTTGGAAACCAGTAATATTGATGTTCCTTGGCAACTAGACTTCACTGTGGACCCTGGAGATTCTGCTGCTTGTCTTAAACCATTCAAATGTAGACAGATCAAGAGGAGGAAGAAGATATTTTTTAAAAAATGATGCGGTTATTGATTACATTTTCAAAAATCACATATCTTCAAAAAATCTAGAATCTTTTCAAATTCTTTTGTGGCTATTGCTATAGCTGTAACTAATATATTATAAAAATATAAAAATTACATAAATATATACACTCACTTTTAGCATATATATTTAAAGGATAATAAAGGATAATTAGAGCTTTTTGTAATTCAGAAAAATAATGTTTATATATAAGACCATAACTTGTGTTCTACAAAATCTCCAGAGTATACTTTCCTCATGATTTTCCTCTCATGGAGATTATTTTTACACAGATTTTTCTACCAACTTACTGTGAACAGGGAAGAACCAGAGTTAGGCAGGATGTGATCTCCCTACTCTCTAAAGGATATTTCTGAATAAATATACAGAGAAAAGAAGTAATTGTTTGAATAGCAGAATCTACTAGGCATAGAACATGAGGTGTTTTACAAAGCTATTGCTTATGCTTTCTGTAGCTGTACAAAATGGGGTTGCTTAAGGGCCCCACTTTGTATATGCGGAAACCAGGCCTAGGAAAGTGACTGTACAGATTGTTTCCAAAGCATGCAACTAATGAGTGGAAAAATTAATATGTAGAGTCACATCTGGATGAGTCTACTACCAGGACTTTTCCCTATCATATTAATTCTGCTGTAGCTCATCTGTACAAAGGCCAAGGACAATCATTTACTGGTAATACTACCTCAATGTTCTCAGGAGTAAATATACAGAGTAGATACAGAAATAAGCTATGAGGTTAAATACCTTTCCATGGATTATTTCAACATCATTTTATACCACCCTGCTCTCCTCCTGATTCTAAACTCCTGCTCGCCCAAACATCTGTTAGTTCCTGGAATGCTTCCAGCTCATAATCAGCGCACTTGGACTTGTGACTGTCTGCTGAACCTTTCTTTGACTCTTCACATGACTCTTCACATGACTAGCCGTTATTAGTCTTCTAGATTTCTCCCAAACATAACTCTCCAAGGACACTTTCCAGGATTATCATCTATCTAGAGCTCTCTTCCCTTGGTAATTATTCCCTGTTTCATTAAAGGGTACTTGACATGTTCTGTAATTACCTTGTGGAAAAGAGCAAAAATTACTTAGTTTCAGAGGAGCAAAAAATTTCTTTTATAATTTGATCTTTGTTCCCAATGCCCAGACACTTTCTGATACTCAGCACTGGCTGAATATTTCTGAGTATTTGAGGCAAGTACTAAAAAGAGAGTTTAATAAAAAAAAAATAAAAATAAAAAAGATGTTTAGATAAGAGCAGCCAAGGATGAACTGCTCTGGACTTCTGAACTTAAGAACAAGTTAATTAGAATAATCCTTAATAGTATTTTTTACATTGAAATGGTATTTCTCTATCTGTATGAGATAGTAACTTATCAGAATTCAATACATTTAAACAACATATAATCATCAATTTGAGGTAATAAGCTTTTTGCATCACTTCAAATAAATATTCTTATTTTTTGTATTTTGGGAATTGCATACTCTTCTAGTCATTCTGAAATATGTCATATATTATTTTAATCTGCTAAAGAAGATTCAGAAATAGTATCCCCACAGAATTTTAGGAAAGGTTAAAAAGGCACAAGTTGGAAAGATGTTAATTTGAGAACATTTCAGTAGAGGAAATGATCTTCCTTGGTTTATCAGTTTCCAGTGAAAGGGCTGGGGTATTACTCAACCCCCAACATGGCACCAGAAAACAACAATAGCACCTTAAAATTTCTAAAGAGAATGTGTATATCATGTACATATAAAATGTACATATAACTGTAGATCTAGATTATACACATTCCTATACTGTAGCTCTAAAAGTTGTATTTGTTAGGTCTTATGGTTTTTATTCCTCCTCCTTTAAAAAATGACATAGGCTTAATTATTAACATCATCGGAACCATCCATTTTTCAGTAGCCATCTTATTAAATTCTTATGATGTTACAGTCACAAGGCTTGTCTCTATAAAATTATCATCAGAGCTTGTCACCAGGCACAGGAGGTCTAGGGCACATAACTAAGTTTCCTTTATCCACAGAGCACTATCTTCATATTAAGAACGGCTGGGTAAGAGCATCATTGTTGAAGGAAACCATACATTTGGGATAACTTACAATGAGTTTTTCAAATTGGAACATTAATCTGGTATAATGCATTTAAATTTTTAATCTTTATTATCATTTAAAGCATGGTATTTTAAAGGTTAACGAGCTTTATCATGCTTCTGTAATTTTTAGGTGATTACTAGAAGCAGTATTTTGATTTTGAAACTATTACCATAAAGTATCCAGTAGAGTAAGAATTAATATGCCTCTAAGGATGATTAATGCTATAGTGAAAATTCAATAACGGTACCTAATAATGAGTGATATAAGGTAAGTGGTATAAAAGCTGCACATGTGCCCAATGCTTGAAAACAATTGTAGTTGACAGTCAATCTCTGCACCTGTGCATTCATAAATTACATGGGTATTGGGCTTGGATATTTTGGTTTGGGTAGAAAAATTGGATTGCTTTTCAGTTTTAATGGTGACTGAATATTACTCATGCATTATTCACATTATTGAGACTTGTCTATAATAGTGGGGGAAAATACATTTCCTCATTCAAAAGCAATGGCCCAACTTGAGCAACGATCTTTAGAATCAGAAATAAATTCTTACATTGAAACTTTAACCAACCACACAATTCATCATTTTGAAAGCTGTGGTTTTTGAAGCCATTTAGGCTAGAATGCAAAACAGATTCTATTGAACAAATATAAAACTATAGGGAAGAAACCAGGGACTGGAAACAAATTTCAGCTAATCGTATTCTGTTGTGTTTGTGTTTCTTTAAAATTTGGTAGATATTTTGCTTGATGATGCTGGTGATGCAACTGGACATAAGGATGGCCGCAGTGTGAAAATTATAGTCTCTATAAGCAAGGGCTATGGTCGAGCAAAGGTATGCCTTTAAATTCTAAGTTACTAAAAGGTCTGAAATCCTGAGTTGCATGCCTTTCTTCTACTAAATATTCTGTTGGAGGTGTTTGCTTTAGAATTAACTCATTATGTTACACAAAGTATGTAAACAGTGACCATGAGAAATGGCATTACCATACATGTCGAATTGTATCTGAAGTGTATCACATCTTCGTGCTCTGAAACCAAAATTAAGCAGAACTTTTTTCCTTGACATCAACATCTAATTTCCCATCTTATTTATGCCTGTCACCTGTAGACTCTAGGTAGTGTTTGTGATATGTCAGTAGGGTTGACAATCATTTTGGACACAGACTATAAGGTTCAAAAATATTGTTGAGAAAGTGGGGCTATGGCCCAAATGGTAGAGCACAGCCTTGAGCAAAAGAAGCTAAGGGAGAACGCCCAGGCACTAAGTTCAAGCCCAAAGTCTAGCACAAAAAATATGTTGTTGACCTCAGAGAGATATAAATATTCTACCTTAGTACAACATATTACATTGAAGCTGCTTGTCCATATAGATTTTTTTAACCAAGCTCCTCTCTGATTAGGCAAGTCTTTTTTTAAAACTTTTTTATTGTAAAAATACTGTATAAAGGGGTTACAGGTACATGAGTAAGGTAATGTTTCCTATTGAGTATTGTCCCCCTCTTTTATTTTTCCCCCACTATCCCTTCCCTCCCCACCTCCCCAAAGTTATAAAGTTCATTTTCAACATAGTATCTTCTGTATCTCATTGTTACAATGGGTCGGCCTGTATCCTTATTTTAGCATTTTGTTATTTCCCTTCCCTTCCCCAAATTAGAAAAATGTATATACAAGATGCAGGGCACGGGAATCAAACACAGTGACAACAGGGGAAGAACATACAAAAGAAACAAAAACACATAATACATTGAAAATAGCAGGGACAAAGGAAAAAACGTCTGTGTCCCTATCTTGGGGTTCATTTCACTTAGCATCATTTTATATGGTCATATGTACATAGCTTTTGACCTTTTCTGATTGTCTGGTAAGATTATCCTAAATGTATACTAGTTATTGCAAATAAGGGAAACCATCGGACCTATATTTCTTTGGGCCTGGCTTACTTCACTTAATATACTTTTTTCCAAGTCTTTCCATTTCCTAACAAATGGGGCAATGTCATTCTTACTGATGGAGGCATAGCATTCCACAGTGGAATTCTGTGTGTGTGTGTGTGTGTGTGTGTGTGTGTGTGTGTGTGTGTGTGTATCACATTTTCTTGATCCATTCATCTACTGAGGGACATCTGGGTTGGTTCCATATCTTAGCTATGGTGATAATGCTGCAATAAACATAGATGTGCTGGTATAGCTTTACTATGGCCTTGTTTGTAATCATTTGGTTAAATGTAATTAGGCAGGTCTTTTAAGATTTTCATTTTAAATCTTGTTTTTAATTTGGCAACATCACTTGATACTCATTCTTAAAGCTAATATGACACTTTAAGTTGAATGCCTAGTGACTAGCCAAGAAACATATTTGGAAATAATCTAAATATTTGTATCAACTCACAAGAGAAAAAAAAGTCATTTAGAATTTTAAGGTAATTGAAGTAGTTAAGTTTCCACAGTGAGATACCACCTGTGAATTTTTGCATTGAGCAAATGTATCAACGAATCCAACACCATAGGTTTTCTGCTTGAGCTGCATATTTGCCCCTGTTTTTCCCCAGGTGGGTTTTTATGTCTAATAGTCTCACTGAAATCCCAGCTAACTGATTTAAAAGCAGCTGTTTCAAACATTGTGTAAGCATCAATGTTAGCTATATTATGAATATACTGGAAAATAAATTTTCCTGCCTAGAATAATTCTAAAAGCCAATATTTTGGAAGGTTTATATATTTATTTTTCAGATAAATCTTCTTAGACCAGTTGTTTAAGGGTGTTAGGTCTGTCATCACAAGATACCAGATAAAAGGATGGTTACATAACAAAAATATGTTTGCTCTCGTTTCTAGCAGTTAGCAACTCCAAGGTCAAGGTTCTGGCCAATTTAGTTGCTAGTGAGGGCTGTTGCCTTGCATTCCAGATGGCTTCTTGGTCCATTCTCAGCTGGTCTGACCTCAGTGTCTGTGGGAAGGGAAGAGTAGAGCTACCCCAATGTTACTCATCTCATCATGAGCTCATTGCTCATTGGTGCTAAGCTAACACTAATTACCTGATTAGCTCCGAATTCATACTGGGACTAAAGGTTTTTGCATGTGGGATTTTGTGGTGACACAGACATTTTAATGTCTGTAGAAGTAGTGACAAAGCAACACAGTCATTTAGCTGCTGGTTTCTCAACTTTTCTGACTTAGATTACATTGCAAGGATGTTGACTGTTGTTAACTTACAGGGTTAAATATTGCAGATAAAGAAATGGAAGTTTTAGAGCAGTTCAGTGATTTTTCTTAAGGCCACGTTTCTTATTTAGATGGTAGATATGTGTTATAAAATCCATGCCTCTAACCCTTCACTCTAGATTACTCTATCACCCATTAATGTCACTTACTGGGTGACTAGAACCAGAATTATAACACATTAGCTAATTATATCTACTCATGTCGTAATTAGTAGTCTATGTAATTGTTTCTAGGCAACATAAAAGAGATGCTAATTAAATTGGAATTCCTGAATTGTCTACATACCTTCTAGATCTAGAAATTGCTCAAAACCCCATCCAACAACAATATAGATTTGAGATTAATATTTGTAATTTGCCAATATACCTAGTTGGATTAAAGCAGTTCTGTCAGTTCTTACAAGTAGTAGATTTTCTGATAAATTCCATGTTGGACTTGTTTTGTAAATGTGTAAATGCCATTATACCACAGATAATTATTTTTAATTTATTTTTACATTTTTCATTATTATAAGTTGTACAAAGTGAATAATTATTTTTCAAGCTAAATTAGATTTTTAGATAAAAATCCTGAGTTACAGACTTTTTAAACATAAGAATATTAAATAATAAAATGAAGTTCTAGGATTCGTATAGTTATATTCACACATCTAACTATTTCCCTCCCACCACACTGCTTTCCTAAGGATGTGCTCACTATGTTAAAATACAAAGCAGTACTCTCTGACACTTTTCACTTTCCCTTCTTCTGGAAAGGTCTTGAATCAGTGTTCCTTGACAAACCATTTCATTTCATCTCTCTCTTGCTTGTTGTTGTTGATATTGCCATTATTTATTTAGTTCATTGACTAGTTTGCTGGACTACGCTTCTTTGTATATGGACCACTATATTAATATAGATATTGATATATATGTGTTTATGTATTTGTTATCATATATCTGATACTATTGAATCAATGGACTTGATGAATTCTTTGAGCTAAATCACCACCTCCATTAATATGTTTCAGCAGAAAATACATTAATAGCATAAGATACATGGCTTGATTCTATCTTACTTTATTTTGTTCTCATTAAGGACCAGAAGTCTCAGTCATATTTGATAGGATCCATTGGTGTTAGTGGCAAAACCAAATGGGATGTCTTAGATGGAGTAATTAGACGTCTTTTTAAGGTAAGTTGACTTTAATAGGATAGATAGCCAAGTCATGACTATAATCCTAGTAACTCAAGAAGCTGAGATCTAAGGATCTCGTTTCAAAACCAGCCCAGAGAGACAAATCTGAGAGACTCTTCTCAATAATTAACCAGTCAAATGTTGGAAGTAGAGGTATGGCTCAAATGGTAGCATGCCAACTATGAGAAAAAAAATGAACAACAACAACAATAATAATAATTGCATAGATACTTCTGCTTCTCTATTTCAAGTAGAAAAGCTTTCTCTCATAATATTGCTCAATGTTAACATTTGTTATGTTACTCATATATACATTTTAGCAACCGGCTTAATAGCTCCATTACTCTCTGTTTTGCAAATGAATAGAACTTCACTTTCAATTTTTGTGTGTGTGCCATTTTAGGAATATGTGTTCCGAATTGATACATCCTCTAGTCTTGGTCTGAGCTCTGACTGTATTGCTAGCTACTGTATAGGAGACTTAATTAGATCTCATAACCTAGAAGTGCCTGAACTGCTGCCTTGTGGATATCTAGTGGGGGATAATGACGTCATCACTGTGAACCTAAAAGGTAAAAACTAAAGCTCCCTATTAGCTTCTTATTTAGTTCCTCTCCTTTTTGCTTTCTTTCTACCTTCCTTGCTTGCTTCCTTTCTTCCTTCTTTTCTTTCGGTCTCCATTCAGAGTTTCTGATTTACACTATTCATTCAACTTTGTTCTCCACTTTGATGAAATAGCCATGCTTTTCTTTGAAACTTGACATCCTACTAGAAAAATGTAAAATGTAACACAATTACCCTTTTTTCTATTTAGTTGTGAGATGTGAAACTTAGAATACCATTCTGAAGGTGTGCCAAGTCATAGGGAGGAATACAATTTAGGGAACTTCGGTTTCTAGATTTTTCTCCATTCTTGTCTTTCACTAAGTGGGGGAATCAAAAGTATTAATGTGTATTGTGAAATCATATATTCGTCTCTATGTCTTGGATTTAAAAAGATGTGTTCTCAAAAATATTCATTGGGCATAGAGAATGGAACTTGGGAATTGGGATGCTAATCCTTGCTTTCTTTGCTTTGGATGATGTGACTAATTACAGGCTTAATGTCAACCTGAAATTTACCATAGCTGTTTGCTTGTTGATGTTCAAGAATCAAAATGAATCTATATGAACTATGGGTTAATAGAAGGATTCATCAATATTTGATTTTATGATTAACGTGATTGAGTTAGGAACATGAGATACTGTTGCTCTCCCTCATAATTCTTTGCCAAACATCATAGTTTTTAGTCTTCAAAATCTTAAGTGTTTGTGCAGCTGGGATATGTAATGAGAGGAGGAAAGTAATAAAGAGAAGGGAAAATGAGTTGGGGAAAAACAAAGAAATACACATACAGGTACCTGTATAATTATAAATTTCACTTAGGTTTCTATCCTATACTTATACGGATATATCTTGTTTCTCAAAATGACCATACATTTGTGGGTTAGAAATATCAAGATAATTATTTTACAATAACAGCATTCCTATGTATATAAGATTGTTGAGTGACAATGTTTTTAAAAATTGTAGCTTGTGTAAAACAACAAAGATGTTATTTGTTTTTTTTTTCTCCTTCAGGGGTAGAAGAAAACAGTTTGGACAGTTTCGTTTTTGATACACTTATTCCTAAGCCAATTACCCAAAGGTACTTTAACTTGTTGATGGAGCATCACAGAATTATACTCTCAGGACCAAGTGGTACTGGAAAGACCTATTTAGCAAACAAACTTGCTGAATATGTAATAACCAAATCTGGGAGGAAAAAGACAGAAGATGCAATTGCCACTTTCAATGTGGATCACAAGTCAAGTAAGGTAAGTCACAAAATGCTAAGAGAGTTACTGTTATGTACCCATACATTTCTAAAGCTGTCCAATTTTAGGTTTATGTGAGGCTTCCATGTTATACCTAGAAAGATAACCAGAAAGATAACAGAAAACTGAACAATAGTTTATTTCATCTACAACTAATGTCTATGTGCAATACCAATCAGACTGAATATTCTCACCTAGAATATTGGCTATAAAACCTATCCAATACTTTCATCCATGCTGAGTAAAATTAAAAATCCTGGATATAGGAAGTAGTAGAGGGCTGATATTTCCTTATATTAGTTTACTAGTTAAAATGTGAATGCTACCTATAATGCTCATTGGATACTGCAAATATTATAAGCAACAACTTAAGGGAATCCTAAAACAACATGATCATGAGTTAAACTGACCCAGTCATTTGTCTGTGATGAGATACTTGAGATGAGCTGCCTAAGGGAGGAAAGGTTGATTTTGGCCCACAGTTTGAAAGATTCTTGTCCAAGCTTAACTGAATCCATTGCTATGGATCTTGGTGACACAAAGCATCATGGTGAGGGAGGGCATGACAGAGCAAAGCTGCACACATCATGACAGCCAAAAAGCAGAGAGAAAATGAACTTTACAACTTTGCTGGGAGAGGAGGTAGAGGGAGGAGCTGGGAAGGTGGGAAGATAAGGGATGGTAGGGGAAAAACCAAAGGAGGGGGTAACAATGCTCGATAGGAAATGGACTCATTGCCTTGCTCAAGTAACTGTAACCCCTCTATACAGTATGTTTACAATAAAAATATATTTTTTAAAAAGGAGAATGGTCGCAGACAGGATATACCCTTCAAAGACATGCGCCAAATGATACATTGCTTTCAAACAAACCCTACCTCCTAATAGCCAGTTCAATATGAACTTACCCAGGGATTCATCCACTGAGGAGTTTAGCACTTCTCAAAGCCCATCCATGAGGTAGTTACTAAGCTATACCACAGAACATTAGTTAAATTTGTTTTCTACAAACTGTAATTGATGAGGGTATGGTTAGTACTTTCCTGTTGATGAAAAGTTATCTGTCCACAGAGGAAAAGGATAATAAATGTTGTTAACTAGATGTTTTTTTCTTTAAGTCTTTAAGACTAAGCTATTGCAGCATCGAGGGCCCATTATTGCACATTCATTTTATTTTCTTATCTACAGAATGGAGAAAAAAGTAGGACTGAGGTAGGCCCAGATAAGTGTGTGTGTGTGTGTGTGTGTGTGTGTGTGTGTGTGTGTATGGCGATGAAGGAGAGACAGGCAAACAGTCAGAGGTAAAGCATCAAAAGTAGATATTGCTGTATAGTTTATTTAGTTACTAATCATAGCCCTTGCTCCTAATGAAACTTTCTTGCACAAACACATGCAGATACATGCACACACTTTTGTTCAAAATTGTCTTATAGATCTCCTCAAAGGTTCAATGACACTCATAGAACATAAGACAATATCTTAACAGTGAAGTAAGTGCAGTCCATGGGTTGCAAATAATGCTTTGGAATTCAGCACTAATCAAACAGAGGTTCAAACACTCATTGCCATGAAGGAGGGTCCTCGACCTGTGGTAGGAAGAACACTTGGCTCTTCTCTAAGCTGAAGGCAGAAGTGCACAATTGTTTCCTTGTTGTATTGCCTTCTGTGATCCTGTCTCCTCATAGCTTTACACAGAAGCCTTCGAACAACAGTCTAGCTTTCTTTTCAGCCACAGAAGATGAAAGGATTTTGAGATCTCTTATGCATCCTTTGTCTTCTCTTTGGCTTTTCCTCAATACTGATATATACATCTTTTGATTTTTTTAAACAATTGTGAGAAAATAAGTAAATAGATGTGTTAAAGGAGTCCAAAATTTTTGATAAAGGTAGAAATCACTTGATATCAAGGTTTGAATTAATTTCAAGCTTCATTTGATAGATTTTGACACAATGAAATGAAACAGGTGATTTCTACTAATAAAATGCACATAAAACCATCATCTATTCTTTCAATTTTCATTCAGATAAAGATTTTGCACTTAAGAAAGACTGTTAATGAGCTTCTGTCCTTTGAAATTTTTCTGTTAAATATTTTGAATACTTTCATTTTTAGCTTTTTCAGAAAAAAATATGTATACTATTATTAGATCAGTTTGGTTGATGTTGCAAAATGATGCTAACATAAAGCATTGCCAAGAGTGTTTGAATGGAACGAACAGTGCTAGGAAACAGCGATAGGAAGAATGAATCATGTGGCATTTATCACAAGAAGGCACAAAACACCAAGTGTTTATTGTTCCTTTCTCCTTATTAGATGTGAATGAGCTGTCAATAATGCTGGATACAGAGAATGTGGCTGTTTTATTTTTTTCCCCTAAGTTAACAGAAGATTCTCAGGATTTTTTTTCCCCTAGGTGGGTGTGGGTGTAAGTGAGGATGATATTAAAAAAAAGAGAGAAAAAGAGTGACAAGTCGAGATTGTGTTAGGGGTGGCTGCTCACCCTGCAGAAAAACTGAAATAAAATGCTAATCAGGCATGAAATAATAAATCCTTTCCCTAGTAATACAGAGCTATGTAATGGCTAATATGTTTCATGCTGTGCTATGGAACTCACGGAAGAGATACAGGCTCCATTCCCGTGAAAGCTTGCTGATTAAAATCCAAACAATAAAAAAAAAACTTTTCATAGTTTTGGTCCCTTTGAATTTTACATTCTGTTCCTTTTCATACACTTCACGCACTCACTCAAGATGCCAGCTGGAATATTTTGATGGAGAGCAATGCCTATGAGCAATTATACTTTGTGACATTTGATAGAACAGACCCAGGAGGATAGAGATGGATTCTATAAAGAATATGTGGCCAGCTGAAGCCACTTGGAATAATAGGGAGGAAGGATCAGTTAGACTTGGCAGATTCATTTTTAGTATGTCTAGAGTCACAATCTGAGAAAACATGATCTACAGTGTTTATATTACAGTGATATTTTGTGTGTACTTTGAAGCTTATAGATACGGGATTCACCTCATTGCCATTGTCCCATCCGGTACATTGTGACATTGTGTGTGTGTGTGTGTGTGTGTGTGTGTGTGTGTGTGTGTGTTCTTCATCACTCTGTATAGACGAGAAACATTTTATTGCTATGTGTTAAGTACAGGAATCAGAGTAAAGATTATAAAGGCACTCAAGGGGAGTCTAGATAAAACCTGTAAGTGATATGATAAAGTTCTTGTGTCTCTTTGTACATCTGATGAATCCATAGCTTTCATTAGATTCCCAAGGATCTACTACTTCTCTCTAGAGGAAAGAGAACAACATGACACTCTCTTTACTGGCTCCATTTGTCCAAACTCATCCAGGGACTGCCTAATTACCAGTCATTGTCTCTGTTCTTCCCAGCTTGTTTACAAGCAGTGTGTTGCTGCAGTTGATTTTTTTTCATAGAAATTCTTCTGGTTTTCCTAATTATTACTTCTTATTTACTCCCTCCTTGTTTAGTAAGTTTTTCTAAATCTCCTTTCTTGAGTGATCTTTCTTCAGATACCATGAATGAAAATATAGTCCAACATTCTATTTTCTCTCACTCCTGTTCTCCTCTGGAAGATTTTTTTTCAGGGTTTCAAAAACATGACTCTTTCAGCTATGAAAAAGGCATCAGAAGTCTGTTCCTATCCTTTCCCATTCATCCTTATCTTGATCACCTTCCCGCCCATTTGGACATCTACAGGTGTTTCTCACTTTTTTTTTCATGATTTCCTTGAATTGGCTTTCATTCATTTGCAAATTTTCCCATTCTCATTTTTGAAAATAAGAGTATATTTTTATATTTTAAAATACTATCCCATTATACTATGCTTGGGTGCTTTCTGCACCCAAGCAAAAACTGTTCCTTGTTATGTAGCACTGTTCCTTGTTCTGATCCATAGTGTCTCTTGGATTAAACAGTTTCAGTATTTTTCCTGGTCTATCCCTTTCCTTTGCAGTATATTTGCTGTACACTTAAATGACAATTTTATCTTGGTAACATCCCAGAATATTCAGTGTTTCTACCTTGTCAACTGGAAAAGTCCAGTGATCTCATCCATCATTTAAGCTTGTGAAATAAATCCCTTTCCATTTTATGTAACCCTCGACTTTCATAAAACTTACTTGGACTTGTCTACATGGACATCATGTTTTCATGTTTCTTACTTTGGTTGTTCTTTTTTCTGTTTGGAAAGTTCTCTTATTTGTTAAGCATACAAATATTACTTAAACATAAAAATTAAGGGTTATTAGCAAATTGTACTTCTACTGCAGAATCTTGAAGAAGCTAGGCCTACTGATTAGTCTTTACATGCTTTAAAACAACCTCTTTGATCTATGCAAGCAATATATTGTTCACTGTTAATTACAGCTACATCCCTAGCCATATAAGGAATAAGCTCTTTGAATACTTTTTTTTTTTTTTTTGTCCAGTCGTGAGGCCTGAACTCTAGGCCTGGGTGCTGTCCCTCAGCTCTACAGCTCAAGGCTAGCACTCTACCACTTGAGGCACAATGCCACTTCCGGCTTTTTTTTCTTTTTGCTTATATGGTGCTGGGGAATTGAACCCAGGGCCTCATGTATGCAAGGCAAGCACTTTACCACTGAGCCACCTTCCCAGCCACTTGAATACTTTTTTTAAAAATATTAATCAATCATTATATCTTCACCTTTATGTTTCTTTTGATAAATAAATTACTCTCCCCTACTGACAAGAGATAAAAAATATCAGTGACGCACAGTTATTTGTATGGCAAAATCCAATTTCCTCTGCATGGATCCCTAGTTTTCTCCCGTTTTTTTTTTTTTTTTCTTTCTTCCATTGTGTACAGGGCTACAATATGCTATATTTTCCTGAAACACCAGAATCTTCTGGAAACACATCACATACTCACACTTTCCAGTACTTTTTATTCTTTAGGTTTATTTTCCCTCCTTGGGCTAGAGGCAGAGCTCAAACATTGCTACAACACCTGTCTAGGAAGAATGAAGTTCTGAGTTCCAACCCCAGTACCACCAGTGGGGAAAAATTCCTTCACTGCATGAACCTTGCAGCCAGTCAGACACTTGCCCTGAGCTCCTTTGTGGCATTCTGTACTCATTATGTGGTTGGGATGCAGTTTTGAGGATGTTTCTTTGCTGATCAACAGTTCAGGTCTACAAAGAAATTAGGTTTTATCTTTTAATCCTTTGTGCCAATGTACATGAAACAAAAGTGTTTGGTAATAGTGTGCTACGATAATGAAAATTCAATTGGGCTTTTCCTCATCATTCATTTCAAATGCTTCCTGTCCATGATGTCTGTTAGACTCCTCTGGTTAGACCTGACCGCTCTGTCATGTATAGATCTCCACTACTCCTTCTGATCATAACTTATGAGCGTGCCTACCGCTTTCCTTAAACTCTAGCAGCATATTCTCCACTACAGTCATCACAATATTATATTAAAGTGGTTAAATATACATAGATTTTTCATACTTAATATGACATTTAGAATCCTTAATATGACGTTTAGAATCCACAGGCTAAACACTCAGATTACCCTTTTCAAACTTCCTTTTCTAGAAAAGTATTTATGTACTTTGTAATGAATAGTTAAACTTACTTGAATTCTATCGCAAAATGAAGAACGTTTTCTTACTTTTGTACTTCACAGGGCAAGGTTGTTGTTTTTTTCCAAGGTTTAAAGCATCAAACAGTATATGTGAATATTTTTGAAAGAATGCATGACTTAATATAAGTAGATGAGTGATAGATGCTAAAAATATGTTTGAAATAATATATAATAATAAAATTCTGGGCTTAAATATTCTGAGGTTAAATTAAATTGTTCAGGCCATTTAATATATATTTTTCTACATTCTCTGTTGAAGGCCACATGATAAAGTTTATATTTGACTAAAACTCACCCCTACCTTCTTCCTATCAGCTCTTGTTTCATCTCCTGTACTTTTAGTTCTAACCGTAGTTTTATCTCTAGAACAAGGTAGCACCTAGAGACCGAGAATAAGTAGTTCACATATTTAACTGGCTGCCAAAATTAGGATCATGAAAATTAAAAAAAAAAGAGCAAGATTTACAAATTGAAAGTGTCATTGTAAATATGCAAATACTATGGAAATGCTTTTACTGATTAGGATAATTCTAAAAACCTAATTATGTTCCTGGCATACCCATCTGTGAGAATAGTCAATTAGAGAACTGGTTATCATATTTAGATTAAAAATTATTAGAGAGGAATAATACCTGTAAAGGGACCAAGAAGAATAAGAAATCCTAAATGCTGATATTAAATGACAGTGAAATACAACAGATATTTAATTTTGCAGTTGTCAGGTGCCAGTGGCTCATGCCTGTAATCCTTTCTACTCAGGAAGTTGAGATATGAGTATCTTGGTGCAAATGCAGCATAGATAGAAGAATCTGTGAGACTATTATCTCCAATTAGCCATCAAAATGCCAGAAATGGAGCTGTGGCTCAAGTGGTAGAGTGCTAACCTTGAACAGAAAGCCAAACAGGAGCATAATACCCTGAGTTCAAATTCTAGTATCAGCCCACATAAAAATAAATAAATAAATAAATAGCAATAGTTGCTTATATACTACAAATAAATGAATAATTGTCCCTGGTTTTATCAGGCTCCACTATTAGTTGCAACTCATCTACATGAACTGAAATTGAAACATGCTGTGTCAGTGTTAGTTGAGAGTTGCCATTTTGGATTTACTCTGTCATTGAAATATTATAAATTTAGTAAAAATCTGCTTCAGTTACTGAAACATCAATAGTAAAAATGAAGTCACACTATGTTATGATTTGTTATATGATTTCATATCTAGACCTATAAAATGAGTTTGTTGTTTTATATTTGCTGCTGGTAAGGGCTCCTCTTTTTGTGCTTTCTCTTTTCTTAAAGAAATACTTTCAAGGTTGAATGCTTTTTACTTTATGGAATGTTTTTATAGCAATAAAATAATCTATAATTTTAATGAAAAAATGGATAAAATATATAGTATGTGATTTCAAAATATTGCTTGTCCTTGATATAGAATCATCTTTTATGTAATCTTTTTTTTAAGGAATTGCAGCAGTATCTAGCTAACCTGGCTGAACAGTGCAGTGCTGATAATAATGGCGCAGAGCTCCCAGTTGTAATAATTCTTGATAATCTCCATCATGTGGGTTCTTTAGGTGATATCTTCAATGGTTTCCTCAACTGTAAATACAACAAATGGTACGCTCATAAAATTTGAAAATACGATGATATTATTTGACTTCTTATACCAATTTATATTTTAAGACATGTACTGGATGCCCTTAATTTCAGAACCGCTAATCACTATTACTACATATTTCCCACAACCCATTCCCTAAAATGTCTATTCATTCAGTACTATGTCCTTGTCACTTTTATGCTGATCTGTGCTCCTCCAGATGTGCTGATAGTGTTCTGGAAGGATACTATCAAGGATGGAACAGTTTTAATCAGGCAAAAGTAATAACTAGAAGGACATTTTAGAAGTAGAGTTTCAAGCTCAGTATATCAAAATCTAAATTCAACTTTTATCTAGAGATACAATTAATCTGTTCAACCATGGATCCCTTGTCACATTTTTACAATTTCCTTGTGAAAATGAAAAAATAGCAGTGCGGCATTAAACAACTGAAAACCCACTAAAATTCATTGTAGCATGGTTTCTAAAGAAAGGACATATAAGAACAATATACAAGCAACAGACATATTTGCCTTAGGGTGCTAAATATTTTAATTAATCTCTTCTAGTGATAAAAACCATTATAAATAGATCAGCATAAAGAATAAAAGCAGAACACAAATCTTCTCCTGTTATTAAAAGCCTATAAAAGTTATGAAATTCCAAAAGAAAAGTGATGAATGGATTTGATTATAAGTAAAAGAATTGTAAAATGTTAGAGTGGGAAGTACCATTATGATTATGCTATCCAACCTCTCTACTTTATCGATGAGTAAACTAGAGTATGCTCAGGGAGAGAATATGATTCCCATTTAGGTAGGGGCGGGGGGAGTGTAGTTGTGGAGATGGAAGGGAAGGGATAGTAGGGGAAAAACTAAGGAGGAGACAACAATGCTTGATAAGAAATGTACTCATTACCTTGCTCATGTAACTGTAACCCCTCCTCTGTACAGCACTTTCACAATAAAAAACTATTTAATAAAAAAAAGAAAAAAAAAAGAAAATGATTCCCCTCGATGTTAGAGCTAGAATTAGAACTTCCAGTAGTAATTTCCAGCTCAGTCATCTTGGTCATTTTCCACGCTAACATTGCAAAATGACCCCTTTAAAATGACTGTTAAAATGGACTAATCCATCTGAGCTCTGGTGGCTTAAAGCCATCCCAAGCAGAAAAGTCTGTGTAATACTATCTCCAAAATAACCAGCAGAAAACAAAAATGGAGGTGTGACTCAAGTGGTAGACTATGGGCCAAACAAGCTAAGTCCGTGACACTCAGTTTAAATCTTAGTGCCATTAAAATAAAGGAATAATCTATATTTTATAAGTGTTTTCCATGAGTTTTATTGTATTAATCAGTTCTGCTTGTACACCTAAATTTTCTATGCTGTATTTTCATAGTCCATATATTATTGGAACAATGAATCAGGGAGTTTCTTCATCACCAAATCTAGAATTGCATCACAATTTCAGGTAAAGTTGAAGGATTTCTTTTCCTTCCTTCCTTGTTTCCTTCCTTGTTTCCTTCCTTCCTTCCATCCTTCCTTCTTTCCTTCATTCCTTCCATCCATCCTCCTTCCCTTTCTTCCTTCCTCCCTCCCTCTGAAGTCCCTTCTTCAATCCCTCTCTTCCTTCCTTCCTTGGTATTATTTCCTTCTTTGTTTGTTGGTGGTTATTTTTCTATTTGTTCATTGACAAATCTTGCCAATATTTACCTCTACTGTGAGGCTAATTCTCATTTCTGTGACTCTCTTTTTTTCAAGCAGACATATTGTGCTCATCAAAAGTGTTTCTTCAAGAAGAATGGCTTTTAGAGAGTAGAATGTTTCCCCTCCTCCAAGGGGCCCTGGCTCAAGTAGAGCATTTCTCTTCTAAGTGTGAGAAATGTGAAGAGTTCCTACTTCAGGATTTGAGATTTTCCTTTAGGAGGGCACTCAGCATGTAGACTCCCACTTACCTCTGCTGCACTTGAGCTTCCCTTAAGCTCTGAAAAATGGAGTCTTTGCATAATAACTCTAGTGCTAATAAACTTCTCAACACCGGGCAGCCTTAAAGGATGGACGGACTTACACTAGGATCATTAGTACTTTAGATTTGAATTGAAATAACTGTGAAATTAAAATTTTAATCCATATAACATTTTCTGATTTTTTTTCTTTTTGTAGATGGGTATTATGTGCAAACCACACAGAACCTGTGAAAGGCTTTTTAGAGAGATACCTTCGAAGGAAACTGGTAGAGATGGAAATTGAAAAGAATATACGGAATAATGACCTGGTTAAAATCATAGATTGGATTCCAAAGACGTGGCATCATCTCAATAGTTTTTTAGAAACACATAGTTCTTCTGATGTTACCATTGGTGAGTTCCAAAATGACAATATGCCATTTTCCAAGAACAGAGAGTACTTGATAAAGACAGCCAGATTGGATGATAAAAAATAACAAGCAAAGCCAATGTGTTCAAAGCATCCAAAGATTGAGGGTTTTTTTCCCCTTTCTAAAAGCTTGCCTTCTAAGTTTTCTGCCTTGGATTAGATTCATTTTATTCTGACAATTATTACTAAAATATTACTGAAATCAAGTAAGGTTGATAGAGACAATTTTCTAAAAATCATAGTCATTCAAAATTAATAGTATATTTAGGGTACAAAAGCATTATAGTGACCAGCTTATATTAAATGCAGTTGTGAGAGAAGATTTTAGTTAGCCATCATTTGGATGATTGTAAGTAGTTTGGATGATGTCAGCATAGCTGAATTTTGCATTGTAAAATGTGGCAAGTTGACTGCATTGCGACTTTTATTATCACTCCTAGCTCTGATATGCTGTGCTTTGTAGTAATATTTTATGTGAATAAAAAAGAGAGGCCAGGAGATTGTGTCTTCAGTAAATGTATTTTTTAAATAATCTGCCTGGCCAACGTAGCAATTTTCTAGTCCTATAAGCAATATCTCACCTCTGCCATTTTATAATATTCCTCAAATATATTTTGTTATTTATGTCTTCTCAGGTCCTAGACTTTTTCTTCCCTGCCCTATGGATGTAGAAGGTTCTAGAGTATGGTTCATGGATCTCTGGAACTATTCTTTGGTACCATATATTCTAGAGGCAGTGAGAGAAGGTCTTCAGGTAGAGTATTTAATTTGCATTATTGTTTAAAAATAAATAAAATGTTCATTCTTGTTTTTTATCAGTCATGGGGCTTGAACTTTGGGCCTGAGCTCTGCCCCTCCACTCTTCGGCTCAAGGCTAGCGCTCTACCACTTGAGCCACAGTGCCACATCCAGTTTTCTCGTGGTTTATTGGCAATAACAGTTTCACAGCTTTTCCTACCCAGGCTGGCTTTGAACCACCATCCTCAGATCTCAGCCTCCTGAGTAGCTAGGATTACAGGCGTGAGCCACCGGCGCCTGGTTGTTAATGTTCATTCTTTTTAACACAAAGAACCCTTATTTCTTTGGATGTTTATACAATTAAAATGCAAATAAAGAAGAGCGACTAACATGCATATTCGTATATTAGGACAAGAGATATATAAGAGAAAAAGGAAACCATTCTTCCAGCAATGACATCTTTCACTTGCAAGCTAACAATCACTTGCAAGATACACTTACTTTTAAAAGAAAACTCCAAATTCTAAGGAAGGTAGTGGACATCTTGTTTAAGCAGGACTCTGCTGATTCTCCCACCTATTTTGCATCATGAGGCCCTATAACCAAACCTTTTGTGCATAGTTCACTAACATGTGAAATAATGTCATTAATAGGAAACTCATCTTTCTTCAGCAAAATAGCTTATCTGCTTCCCCCGCCCCTCCCCCCCCCCATCAGTCTTGAGGGTTACTTAAAGGGGATTTGAAATTTCATGGAATTGTAGGCTGAAAAAAACACTTCTAATATTTAGATTATATAATCACCCAACTTATTATGCAGGAATCCAATCTCCTTTCATCCCTCCCCCGGGTATTTAGGCAGTTTGGGCTTAGATGAAGTTTGGCTTAAGATGAAGCTCATATTTGGCAAATTCTGTCCTCTTCAATACTGTGTCAAGTCTTTCTTTTACTAACTGGAAATTGGTCCTCCATTGTTTTCCTCCTTTCCTTCCCTTGCATTGTCTTGCGTCTTGATCTAGTAGGGTGGCATGGTGGTGTTTAGAACAATCAAGAGATTGCTAGCATCATGATGAATGTGAAGATACTCTGAATACTCAGAGACAAAGTTAAGATGCTAAAAATTGTATTAATCATTTTTGTTTCAGATTTAAACAACTCAGTTTCACGTTTTTAAGGATAAGAGCAAATCTCTAACTCTGTGTGTGTGTGTGTGTGTGTGTGTTAATACTAGGGCTTGAATTCAGGACCTCGGCTCTACTACTTAACTTTTAAACTCAAGACTGATACTCTACCACTTGAGCCACAGCTCTACTTTTGGCTTTTTTGGAGGTTAATTAGTGGTAAGAGTCTCACAGAATATCCTGCCTGGCTGGCTTGAAACTGCTTTCCTCAGATCTCAGACTCCTTAAATGGGATCACAGACATGTACTATCAGGGCCCTCAGTAACACTTTAGTTTGTTAAAAAGGGAAGTAAAAGATGATGACAATGGTTTTTAGTTTTCAAATATAATCAAGTGATTTTTTTT